ACTGTCCATTTGTTTTTTCAATTTGACAATAATAATTACAGATTTTAAAAACTTTTTTAAAGCAAATGTAGCCTAAAATGCCATGTCCATAGCTATCTAGTTTTTTCTTGAGTTACCAATATAAGTTATATATTAAAATTAATATATGGATAAATAAAATAAATAAATATAATATTCTATACAATTTTTAAATGTTTAAAAGTATTTTAAATCTGTCATGTTGCTGAATTGCCTGAGCCCCCCCTCCTAATTCCTTTCGATTTGTTCCCCTCGTTGGTCATCTAGTCATACAACTTACAGCGAGTTTTTTTGTTTTTTGGAGATAAAAATCATCTACCAGAACAAACTTGTGTGTCGTTGTTTCATCAAAACAAAAATTTCATGTTTTACAATATTTCACAAATGCATTAAAGGAAACATGTCCACACTGTTACCCATATTTACCGTATAAAAACAGTATAAACTGATATTTTTTTTGTAATTTTGATCATTTGGTTGATAAACATGTTAAAACATTTTTTTTTTTTGGTCTTCATGTGCTCGAAAAAAGAAAACATCCAGTGAGCAGCAGCTCTCTTGTTGATGCTAGGGCTGGGTATCGTCACTGATTTCTAGAATTGATTCAATTCCGATTCACAAGGTCCCAAATCGATTCGATCCACGATTCGATTTAATTCGATTCGATTCGATTTAAATCTGGGAAATTTTGACAGTCAGAAGTATAATTCAGATCAGAACATTTACATATTTTTGTATCTATAAAAAGGAAGCTGACACTCGCAAGACTTTATCCAAGGTGTGAGCATCACAGCAGATGCCTTTGTGTCAAAGTAGCTGAAGATAAAACACAGAAAAACATGAAGGTGATTTTCCTGGCCTGGGATTTTATAAAAATATTCTGCAGTACATCAAAAACGAAAGAAAACCATTAATTAATGAACATTACCTCTGACGTTACAGCGGTTTTATTAGACACGCTAAGCATTTTGCATTTTGAATAATTTTAAAAAGTTTAAATTTGTTCAGTATTGAACAGCAGAAATGAGGCTTTCTTTTCGGAAGAATGTAAAAGGGAAAAAAACAGCGGCCGACAGCCTGTAAACAGCGGTAGACTTGTGCGTAACAAGCAAGCGAATAATGAAGAAAGCGAAACTGTTCGAGAGAGAGAGGGGGGGGAGGGAGAGAGGGAGAGAGAGAGAGCTGCTCATCGCAATGGAAGCAAAACAGTAAAAGAGTGAATTCATGACGATGTTTATGTGAAGCGTTTGGATCTTCTTTTGCTGCTGATTCGGTCAATATTGTTTGGAGAGAGATCAAACTAACAGCTTTAGAATCAGCGCATAAAGGGCGTGAACACAAAGCGCGGACCCGGATCAGCGAGCTGTCGGCTTTCAGCCCCGACTGTGAGAAAGGCGACATCTAACTGATTCTGATCCGCGGGTCGCGCTGTGTGTTTAAGTCTATGTGCAGAATCCCTGTACCTGCTCTCATTTACTGTTTGGTGGTTCTTGAAATTTTGTGAGATGTCACCAGAGATTCTGGCATTTCGGACAAAATAAATTTATATTAAAAAATCGATTCAGGATTTTAATGAATCGATTTTACGTTATCCAAGCCAGAATCGATTTTAATCGATGAATCGATTATAAAAACCCACCCCTAGTTGATGCCCAAGGTTAAAGGGGAATGTCCAGAATGCTTTAATTTGATTGGATGAAAGAAATGATTCAAATAACTCATTACAGTCACAGTATGCAACATGCAACACATCAAACCTTGAAGTAGATGGGCAAAAAGACCCCACCGGCTGCCACATGTGACAGCTCAGAACAGGAACTAAGCCTGTCCTCTGAGCAGTCTGGAGGTCACAGTGGAAACACCCACAGTGTACTTTTTGACTATGCTGAGGAGTTGAGCTTGTCTGTAGATTAACTATACAAGGATTAATTTTTAAACATGTTCAGTGGATCACAGAAATATTGCAACACTGTCATTTAACTGTTAATAATTACACGTCAAATGGAACTCCGTGAAATTTAGACAGCACGGCCTCACGAAACTGGAGGAACATCTGGGCTTCAAACACCATGTCTTTCATGTTGTTGGCTGATGTTTGCTACACACAGCTGAACTAAAAACACATAAAATTCAGTGTTGTTGAAAGGTTTTATGAAAACAGGGATTTTAAAACCTTTTTTTTTCTTTACAGCTTTCTACAGGTTGTGTCAGCTCTCCAGTTTGACCAGTTTAAGAAGCGTTTTAGCTTCTTCCTCATTACACACTCTTTCCTCCCTTTACACCTCATTGCAAACAGACATTGAGGTGTGTGTTAGGTGGTCTGTGCTGTATGTGCGATAGTAACTCACTGTTCTCTGAGTGTGTTTTGGCTTCCTTCCATCAAAGGCTGATCATATTTTCAGCAGTGATGTGAGATTGGATCTAATTTCTCTGCTGAATTCTAAAATATTTGAACAATATTGTAAGCAAAAATAAAATTAAACATTTAAGCCTGACCTCTATCAGTTATTCAGAATTTACCAGACATGTTATGTCATTTTAGCTTAGATGGATTTAATTGATCTCTGATTATGTCACACACCCCAGCAGGTCACCACAGAAGCTCGACACGCAGGTTTCATATTAGTACATTACAAAAACAAAAGACAAACAACACTTTATTTTTATAGAAATAAATACAGTGTAGGCTATAGCCGTCATTAGGTCATTAGTGTAAAAAGATGCATACAAATGGAGGCTGGTCTCCTATCCTGAGGAGGTGAGGAGATCAGACTTCTACCCAGGGGTCTCGAACACCAGTCCTTGAGGGCCGGTGTCCTGAAACTTTTCCATGTGTCCCTGTTGCAACACACCTGAATAAAATTTGTAGATCATTAGCAAGAGTATAGAACTTGACTGAATGCTGAAGTGGCAACCCCTTATCCTACTCAAGTAAATTTAAATAAATGTAAGTGTTTGGAAAAATGTACTTCTAAAATTACTTTTATTGCACTGTGTTCATTCACTCACAAGCTGCTGTAGCATGCATTCAAGTTCTATAGATTCTCGCTAATGACCTACTAATTGTACTCAGGTGTGTTGCAGCAGGGACGAATGGAAATGTTTCAGGACAGTGGCCTTCTAGGACTGGAGTTTGAGACCCCTGCTCCTGCTGGTCTCCTCTCTGCACAATCACACAGATTGTCCTGCCCAATATAACCTGCAGCTGTCGCTGTTGAGGCATTTTGAACAGAAGTTCAATAACGGTGATGCTTTCCAAAAAATAGAGGCTTTTTTAAAATAAATGAGACAGATGAGAATGGCCAGACTTCTTCAAGCTGATAGGAAGGTAACTCAATAACTACTGATTACTTCCAAGCGTCCTGCACCCCGAACCTTGAAGCAGATGGGCTTGTGCAGCAGAAGACCACACCAGGTGTCACTCCTGTCAGCTGGGAACATTTCTGCTTTCTTCTGGAGACCAAAGGAAAATCCTGGTATAAAATGTAATACTGCTCACGCAATACAATAAGTGGAAGAATGTCTGAAACACTTTCTGAGCAATGTGAAACTTATATTTTGAATTATTAAAACAGAAAATGGGACGTTAAACAATGGGTGTGCTGACAATTTTACAGCAATTCAAGTAAGAAAGAGAACATATTTCTGTGAGGTATGAATAAATTACAGCAAGATATGAAAAAATAGCTTTTGGAGACACATTTACTATTAATCTCAGTGGTGTTTAAAATAAAGGGATCGGCTCATATGAAGGAACAGGCAACGACAACAATGGACGACTTCTTGCACAGCAGAGGGATAGGGGAAGTTGCTGACACATCTCCGGGAGTGTATGTGTGAGAAAAGGGACACAAAAGACACATTGAAGGCAACAGTGGCATGACATTCGTGACTGCAGGCTGAATAAGCTGAAATCTATTGTGGTTCTTGTTCATACTGAGACATAGCAGCCTTTTAGTGGGGAATCAATTAGCTGTATCAGACTGTTTTGTTAATCCGTACAATAGTGGTCTACAATCAGTTTTTAAAATCGTTTATCTCTTTTATTTAATCTTTTGGCTCCTGTGGTGTTTGATTGTAAGCACTCAGTACCAGGGGAAAACATATTATTGGGTTACCTTATTGACATTGCTTTGGCCTACACAGCTGAATCCTGCCCTCTTTAACAGCCAAATAAAATAGTTTCTTCTCATTAGTCTTCCAATAACATAATTAACCTCACTCACCTGTCCTCGCCGAGAGATCACATAACTACCTCATATTACTTATTTATTCTTCCCCTCAGCTGTGGACTCTCCACTCTCTACAGACACCCCAGTCTCTCTGATATAAGTGAGAATGGTGTGAGAATATGAGAAAAATAAATTAATTTTATTTTGTAGCACAACCCACTATAGTCCTTGTGCCAGTCTCATGTCTGGATAAATGAGTAGGACTGTGTCAGGGACCCAGGAAAAGTTTTGGCCAAGTCTTTATGCAGCTCAGAATAATTCCATACCAGATTGGTCAAAGCTGGGATGGAGGCAAATCATCCGCTTTGGTGATCCCTTAAATGGAGCAGCCAAAAGAAGAATAGGAAGATACTGGCTCAGAGTGTGAATCATTGGAGCTCAGTTTAATTTAGATATAACTTTTAAATTCTGTCCTATAATTTTATCTTTTTTTTTCTTTTTATGTTATGGCTGTTGGGAGTTGGCCCAACTTAGAAGTGATGGAGTTGATCCATATCCAGGAATTCTCGGAGGGATTTTTTTGACATTGTGAAAGGGAACAACTCTGGGCATTTCATACTATATTTCCATAGATCATATTCTGATCTAGATCCTATCAATTTTATAGGGATAATAAATAATAAATGTTAACAATTATGTTTTTATTTGTGTTTCATTCATTTTATTATATTTTTACACATTTATGAACCTGATAAAAATGAGTACAGTTGTTTCATGAAGCTAATCCAAAAAATTGAACTCCAACCATGCAGGATCCTCAATGAAGCCCATGTTTTTAAAGAGCTTGTAGGACAGCACATTGTCCTCTTCTATGTAGCAGAACACCGGGTAACCCTCAGCATGGAGTTTCTTGGCCAAAGTGCTGATCACGATTTTGGCATAGCCTTTCCCTCTGTGCTCTGGCAGCGTATACAACATTCCCAGAGCACAGTAATCATACACAAGTATCCAGGACACGGGCTGACCCTGGCTGTCTGTGATGCAGCATGATGGGAAGTTACTGATTAGGTTTTCAATCTTCCTGTAACCCTTCTCGTCTCCTCCGAACTTCCAGGTTTTATTCACCAAGTCAACGTGGGAAAGATTAAGAGACGAAATCCTCGACTCAAGCTCACTTAAAAAAAAAGAAAAGAAAAGTTGTTGAGAAGCAATATAATTTACATTGCTCTGAAGCATATTTCATGTGACATATGCTTTTCAGATTATACCTGTTAATCGCTGGCATGTGCAGATAGTTGGTGTCTTGCAAATACAGAAGGTGTACTAAAATATCAGTTTTGTATTTTACTCTTCTGTCACAAGACACTTGTTTGAGGACTGGTGCATGGGAAACATCAAGTCCTGTTGGACAAAAATAATTTACATTGAATACTTTGTTTGTTGTTCCTTCCTTGCAAGAGGTTAAACAGTAATTTGTAAAAACAGCAAAACAACATAAAAAGGTGTAACTATCATTAGGAAAATCACCATATGACCATTAAATAATGCTGATCCAGTGCTATCAATGAAGCTGTTGTAACTTACACTTCTTTAGTAATAATGGATCACACTGTACAAAGTGTGTGCTCTGTCTATAAAACTGTGTAAATAGGAACAGCTGTCAAATGTAGTGACGTAAAAGCCACCATATTTATTTCGTGCTTATTTTCTGCAGTGATCTGAGCTCACCTCCTATCATGAAATAAGTGCTCCAATCAACTGCATTCTCGTCTGTCAGCATTTTCCTCAAACTCTGTTCATCCGTGCTGTAGTATGTCACTTTTTTCATGAAAATCGAGGCACGCTTGTTCTGTGAAATTAACAAAAGCTGTCACCATCATGCGACATGGAAAGATTTCAGTCTTGAAAAGCTATCCACAGTTTTCCGACGGGATTTAAACACACCTCGGGGTCCGGTCTGCAGATGATAACTTTAAAATCAGGCCACGCATCGACCACAACTTCTAGTGTAGTCGGTTTGTTCCTGTTGATTCCGTACAGGAAACCGTACACCTGAAAGCACGAAACACCTTTAAGCGCTGCTGAGGCTGTAAAGCACAAAGACACGCGGTTTATGTCGCAGATACCTTATAACTCTTCGGTAAGTGTTTGAGCAGAACTCCTTCAGCGACCTGCAGCTCGTCTCTGTTCAGGACCTTCATGTTTGGATAGTTGCACAGTTTTCTGACACTTTAACCTTTTCAGGTTAAACTGCGATGGCAATGATGACAATCAATGAAATGTAAATAGTTATTTACAGCACATGAAACTCCCTGTGGACTCTGCTGTGACCGAGATAACTCTTCTGCTCGTTTTCAGCTGTTTTAAATATGATCTTTCGACAGTTCCAAAGACATTTGCGCGTCTTTGTAAATCAAAGACAGAGTGTGTGAAACTCTGGAAATCGCGGAAGTGATGTGAAGTGGACGTAAACGCTAACTGGACTTTTCCTCCAGGCTGAGGTTGCAGAGATTCGCACTTTCTAGACGTAAAATTGAAGAGAACGTACGATAATCATTGTCACCACCACCACCAACGCTCTACGTTGCTCATTATTTTTATATTTGTTAAGTTTTAAATACAGACACAGTTTGTTTTGTGTTAAGCAGTAATAAATGACATCAAGATTTCAATTAAATGTCTTTCACTTTGGAGAACCATGGATAGTATTAATTGCACTGGTGTTTAGAATTAACGCTCGTGGGAAAGACATCCAACAACAGACCACTTCTTTATTGCACAGCAGAAGAAAAGGAGAAGTTGTGAAGGACACACTTTTGCTAATCATTGTTATACAAGAGAGCAAACATCAAGAGCGACTTTCATTGTTCTTTTTGTTAAATCTTCTGGCTCCTGTGTTGTTTGATTGTAAGCCTCATTGCCTGGGGAATCATTTTATTGGGTCACCTTACTGAATTTGGTGACCCTGCTTTGGCTTATAAAGCTGCCAAATAAAATAAATTTCTTCCACCTCATTTCTCCGCTTATAACATAATTAACCCCGCTCAGCTGTCCTCACCAGCAGATCACATAACTGTCTCATATTTACTCAGATGGGAACATTAACTGGTTCCTCAAGCCTTGGTCAACAGACAGGAGAGAACCTTCCAGTCTTGCCTACCTCATGGTTACACAGACAAGTTAGCTTTATTTGCTCCCCTCAGTTTTTAATGAAGTACTAAACTGTCCCCATTTTTAGAAGCATATTAGCTTCAGTTTGAAATGTTTGTACTTAATTATAATGTTAGTTGTTTTTTATGATTCACAGCTGATTTAGCCAGATAAATGCAAAGGGTTGTGTCAGGAACCCAGGAAGAAAGTCTTTATGCAGATCGGGATAATTCCACAACAGAGTGGCCAAAACTCGGATTGAGGTTAATGATCCGGTGTGGTGACCCCCTTAAAGAAAGCACCTTAATGAACAATACGAAGCTACTGAGTACAAATCAGTGCAGCTCTGTTTTATTTAAACTTCTCCTTTAAATGCTTTAATGTTATCAAAAGTTTACATCATTGTCTCTGTTGTGCAGGTAATGTGATTGATTTGATTGTTTCTAGGCAAAAAGTTATCAAAAGTGGGGATTGAGCCTATTTAGATAAGATTACTTTTGGAGTTGATCCAGGAAGTTGTGGAAAGGTTCTTTACTATTCTGAAATAGGGGAAAAGTGGACATTTCACACCATATTTTGACAAATATATCAAAATGAAATTCAGAGAAGTTGGCTTGAACCAAAAGCAAGCCCCAAGGAAACAGTGTCTTCTCCAAGAAACAGACCAGAAATGATCATACTTTTATAAATAAGAGGGTTGCATTCATTTGAATACTATTTTTATAAATGAAGAAGGCGCAACGTGATACAAATGTTGGACGTACATATAAAAGATGTTGACTCTAATCCGAAAAATTGAACTCCAACCATGCAGCCCTGTAAGAAGGATCCTCAATGAAGCCCATGTTTTTAAAGAGCTTGTAGGACAGCACATTGTCCTCTTCTATGTAGCAGAACACCGGGTAACCCTCAGCATGGAGTTTCTTGGCCAAAGTGCTGATCACGATTTTGGCGTATCCTTTCCCTCTGTGCTCTGGCAGCGTATACAACATTCCCAGAGCACAGTAATCATACACAAGTATCCAGGACACGGGCTGACCCTGGCTGTCTGTGATGCAGCATGATGGGAAGTTACTGATTAGGTTTTCAATCTTCCTGTAACCCTTCTCGTCTCCTCCAAACTTCCAGGTTTTATTCACCAAGTCAACGTGGGAAAGATTAAGAGACGAAATCCTCGACTCAAGCTCACTGTAGAACGAAAAACCAAAGTTGTTGAGAAGCAATATAATTTACATTGCTCTGAAGCATATTTACAGTCATAGTGAAAAAATGTACAGTCTCCTTAAAGTCTAATATTTTATATATAACTACATAATAAACATCATTTGGTCTTGATTAGAGCTTAAAATAAGGTAAATACAACCACAGATCAACAAAACATAAGATAATACACTGTGTCGTTGTTTATTGAACAAATACTGAGCCAAAATGCAGAAGCAGTATGTGAAAAACTAACTATACTATTACTATTGAACCTGATCTCGCTGCAAAACATGTAATAAACATGCCGGTCCACCGTGTCCATTTGTCGCTTTGCCTCTCCAAGCCATGAAATGTACATGCATGTAGAAGTTACAGTAAGTTGCAGTAATCTGCAGTAAGTGTTTAAAAAGAGAGTACTAACACATTTACATCATGTAAATACATACTAGCCGACTACCTTAATAGTTTCTGACGATTAATGACCCTGCAATGTACTTAATACATTTCAAATTTTGGAAGGGCTAAGTGTGAAATGACCACAGTGGACTGGCGTGTTTTTGCCTTCATACTGGGTTTTACTATTTCCACTGAATGAGGAAGGTAAGCAGCAGTCAGATGTTGATAATCAAAGTATCAGAAGAAAGCGTGTAAACCTCTATAAAAGCAGAAGCTTGAGCAGTTTGCTGGTAAGGTGCCAAGTAGGAATAATATTAAAGAGGCAATTATTAAAACCCATTAGTCTGGGAAGCCAAAGGACTGGGGCACCTTGCAGTCTTTGAGTAGACCACTGTATATTCCTCTGTATATTAAAGCATTGTAGTGTTACATGTGGCGACATCTGGCTGACAGCTAAAGACTGGCCTAAAATGGGTCATCCAACATGATAATGATCCCAAGCACAGCAATAAATCTACCACAGAATGACTGAAAAGAACAGATAGAACAAAGTCCAGACCTCAACCTGACTGAAATGCTGTGGCAGAACCTTATTACACAGCTTCTGTTTTATGGCTTAGTTTCTGTTAGGTCATGACAGTGTAATATGTTGTGTGACCTAATTTTAAGACTTGCTAAAGACAGCCATTAAAAAAAATGCCGATATGTATAACCTTACAACTGACACAGGATGGTCTTTTTTAACGTGTTTTTAAAATCATAACTTATACACAGATATAACTTAAAGTGCATCTTAATTATCAAATTATACCTGTCAACCACTGGCATGTGGAGATGGTTGGCGTCTGGCAAATACAGAAGATGCACCAAAGTATAGACTTTGTGGTTCACTCTTCTGTCAGAAGACACTTGTTTAAGCATTGGTGCATGGGAAACATCAAGCCCTGTCGAATGGAAAGTATTCACATGAATTTCTTTCTCTTCTTTTTCCTCGCAAGAGGTTATCCAAGCAGTTTTGTATTTAATTCAGGAAAAATGTCCACATAAATATTAAACTTTTTATTAGAATATTGTACAAAGTGTGTGCTCTGTCTATAAAACTGTGTAAATAGTAACAGCTGTCAAATGTAGTGACGTAAAAGCCACCATATTTATTTCGTGCTTATTTTCTGCAGTGATCTGAGCTCACCTCCTATCATGAAATAAGTGCTCCAATCAACTGCATTCTCGTCTGTCAGCATTTTCCTCAAACTCTGTTCATCCGTACTGTAGTATGCTATCTTTTTCATGAAATTCAGGTCACGCTTGTTCTGTGAAATAAACAAAAGCTGTCACAATCACGTGACAAGCGAAAGATTTCCGTCTTGAAAAGCTATCCACAGTTTTCTGACGGGATTTAAACACACCTCGGGGTCCGGTCTGCAGATGATAACTTTAAAATCAGGCCACGTATCGACCACAACTTCTAGTGTAGTCGGTTTGTTCCTGTTGATTCCGTACAGGAAACCGTACACCTGAAAGCACGAAACACCTTTAAGCGCTGCTGAGGCTGTAAAGCACAAAGACACGCGGTTTATGTCGCAGATACCTTATAACTCTTCGGTAAGTGTTTGAGCAGAACTCCTTCAGCGACCTGCAGCTCGTCTCTGTTCAGGACCTTCATGTTTGGATACCGGAGTTTTCTTACTAATGTACTTTAAACAACCTGAAGGAAACTGTTTCCAGGGCCTACTCCGTGGATCGGCTTCCTCCGAGGCGTGGACGTCTATCAGCAGAGAATGTCCCTTAGTCTGTAACACAGTCAAATATATTCTCAAGTAATATTCAAGCATGCCATTCAGCGTGTTAGTACGAGCTCGGGAGCAGCTTGGGAGAACAAGAAAACAGAGACTGCTTCAGGTTGTCTTCCCAAAGTGACTCAACTTTATTCACAAGTACAACAGTTTATATAGAGGGTAAAATTCATGAGACAGCAGATTATCAGTTTAAACCAGTACAGACCAAGATAAGGCAGCGTCTTCCTGCCCTTGGGTGAAGAAGCATCCTTTGTGTAGTTTATTAGTTCAGCTACAATTGTGATTATCTCAGCGACATATTTTCAAGGCACAAAACGAAGAGTTCTTTCATTAGTGAAATCTGAAACAAACCATTTGGCCTTCAACAGGCGTCTAAAAGATTAAGAAACTAATGTAGCTGAGGGAGTGATCTCTGTGGTATTTCAACCTTGTACCAGCCTGTGATTCTCACACATCAATTCTTGGGTCAAAGAGAAAAACAACTAAAACAAAGGGGCCTTATTGAATGACAGAGTTTTCCTGCATAATGTCACTATAAAACAATATCCAGTAAATGCTACCATGGTACTAAAATACCTAACACAACCTGCTGTTTTAAAACATCCCAAATCCACCAAAATGGAGAAACCTTTATAAATTATTAACAGTTTAGGCAAAGTCCGTAGGGTTACGATATGACCGCATTGCTCCGGTTTGAACTTGTGAAATAAACGTAGCAGGCCACTTCCTGTCATAAAAAATAACTTTAACGTTAACTCTAACGTTAATTCACCGCCAGAAGTTTTTTTTTTAAAAAAATGTTTGTTTTATCCGTTAGCGTGTTTATGGAGTGTTCAGGAAAAATATGAAATCTAAAATATATTTTTCCAGCTCAACAACTTAAAAGTGGGACAAAGACTGTGCTTGCGTGGGACAATGTGACGTAGATGAGTGCTGACAGGTGGTGTGAATTTTGTGTTTGGAGTTTAGCACTCGAAATACAAATGCACATCTCAGCTCTCCCTCTGTAGTTGAATAAGCCTAAAGTGAGTTTTCTTTTCTTCACTGAGTTCAACCACTTACAAGCAGTCTTTATTTGTTGTAGTTCCATCATATTCTGCACAGCTTATCTTATTGGTCACTTTTAATGGTTTAATTTTGACCTGCACTTGACCTGTGATCTGAACCCTCAGATTAAAGAGACTTTCAACAGGCTTCTGGATTGACTTTAACTGAGATTAATCAAAATGTAAGATAGTGTCTCAGAATGCAGGGCAGGTGGGAAAAGGGTTAAACATGCAGTGTAGTCCTACATAAAGTGGGAACCCTGGTCACCCAAAGTCCAATATGTTTTATAGTGTTAGACAAAAACTCCCCTCTTTTCCAAAGTGATTAAAAGTGTAACTGCTCTATCCACCAACTCCTTATAGATGTTGAAAATAATGTGAATGGCATTTTCTGTTGTCAGTCATGTCTGTCCCAGATTTGTTCACATTCTCCTTCCTCTTAGTCAGTGGGTAGGTATCCAGAGAACTCATCACCATCAACAACAACAAAGAAGCTCTATTGAGCTAAAACGTCATCCTTGTGTGCATTTACCACACGGACACATTAAAGTTTGTGTGCAAGTTTGACTTTATTTCAAAACTGAATTATCTGGAAAAAAAAAGCAGCTCATGATCAGTTTGACTACACAACAGTTTGTTATTTGCTTGGTTTACTGATGAGGCAAAGTTGCTTCTTTAAAAATCGGGGAGACCTAGTTTGTAACACTGGATAGTGGATTTTGGAAATTTAAAACAAGTTTGATTAGTTAAGCAGTGCAGTAGTAAAGGCAACAAATACTAATATTAATATATTTATTCCACCTACAGGAAAGTGCATTGCAGTCTAAGAGAAGATTATTCTGACACAAAGGTAAGATTTCCCAAGCGTTCTCGTTCTAGCGTCCCACGTAGATCTCAGTGTTGGCATTCATTCTTCAGTAACTCAATGGAATTAAGCCATGGGCGGCTCCACACTTCGAATGTGCACTGGTAGGGCTGAAAGGAAAAACAGACAATACATTTAACATTAGGATCTTTCAGGTGGTGTTATTTACACATATAAATGCTTTAGGTTTTTTTTTTATCCAATAGCATAATGTCTATTAAGAACATGAGTATTTAACGATCAGATTAATATGCATTACACACTCAAAGGGATTCACAGCAACATCGCGACAAGAGGGCAGCAGAAAAGTTCTATAAAACTATGTCAAGTATGCAGAAAAACTGTGATTTATTATTATGAAATAAAAAACAAAACAGAAACATCAGAAATCAATTTGTTTCAGACGATCACTTTTCAACAGGACACCGGCCTTCAGCTGTAAAAAGATCTGCGTTGAGCAAATCACTTCCAGTGTGAATGCAGCTTTAATTACAAGGCTGCTGCATGATGTTTAAGAACAGATCAAATATCTTGCTTCTTTTGAGAAGATGCCATCAGTACCTGAAACTTTGCCTGATCTGTGTGGATTGCACACACTTGATCGACGCCATACTTTCTGCAAGGGGTCTTTACCATCTTCACAGTTATGACGTACTTCATGCCAGCGACCACCTGTAATGGGAAAGAAAATTGAATACAAGACTTACAGCAAATGAACCCCTCCTCCTTCTCCTCTTTAAACACCCCTACTGTCCCCTGTGAGCCAAGAAGCTCACCAATGACTAGAGAAAACACAAACATCAACACATTGCTACGGTAGCCTTGCCTCAGGTTTCAAGAGGAGAGCCAAATAAACTTTTAAAAAAACATGACTCATCAGCATATTAACCAATCTTTAGCAAAGATGTGCTTTTGTCGGGTTCCTTTTTTTTTTAAACCCACACTGCTCTTTTGTTCGGGCGGGCCAATGGCTGCCTCAACACAAGCATAAAAAACATTTCCGACCTACTGTTAAAGCTAGGATGAGAGGATGAGAGGATATTAACGTGACAAATTACGAAGCCAGCCATATTTGGGGGAGTACCAACGCCATTAAGAAGGCATATAGCAAGTAAATTGTATGTAACGGCCTCTAGGACTTTAGTTTAGTAGTTAAAAGTGAAACCTTTGAAGGGCGCTTCGCAGGCCTTTTCTTAAGGGCTCACATCACTACGATGGTTTACTGGATGGCTTTCCCCTAAAGAACAATTCAGTTATTCACGAATCTGACCGTTACTCACCTGTGACTGAACCTTGATCACTTCTACCACTTGCCTGATTTACAAGTCGTTGCTGTCTCTGTTGTGTTGGATGACGGCGAAGTGGAGAGCGTTTTGCACGTCTTCATTGTTGATATCAGCGTCTGTCAAGCCCCCGACCGGGTCCCATACCCAACGGCCAAAGCGGCCGCAAGGACAGTCAAAGCGACCTTCCACATCTTGTTTCTGTTGCCTAACAAACACACAGGAGACGAAGTGAAACACTCCCCACCGTGCCCTCCCAGTTATATCAACATGAACATCACTGTGCCGGAGGAGTGGCACATCTGGCAGAGATCTTGCAGCCAATCGGCAATCCCCACAGCAGAGAAATGTGACTACTATGGAATGTTAGGGTTGAAAATGATTAATTAAAGCTGTTTTTATTATTTTTCTATACACAATGCAATGTGCTCATAAACGAGTTGGCGCTCTGGGTTTTGAGGGTTAAAACGACTTGTCCAGTTGTATGTTTGGGCTGAAATATTGAGAATGGACGTGGCATGCTTGAGGGTCTTTTTTGCTACGTGCTTACACATCACACTTGATAATGATTAGAATGATATTCTCTGGACCAAAGGGAGTCCAAACAGAATGTCCTGAACCAGATATATAGAATCAGTACTAGGATAATATTAAAATAATCAAGGCTAGGCAGGGAGGTGTTTTCGTGTCTGTCTCTGCCATTCCTCGAAAAAAGAGCAAACAACGGGATTGGGATGACCGGATGTAAACAGAAGAAGAAGACAGACATAATAATTATTTGTTATTGTTGGGTTACAAAAACTGTACGACCCGATCAGGGTTATCCTTCGTGTGAAGACAGATGGCTGTGTTCACATCGAGGTCCTTGTAATTCCAACTCCAGAAAAATCAGGTGGCGAGAAGACAACTGTCCCCAAACCTCAGTAATATAAAACAAAACTAGATCTCATTGATTTACTGTAAAAGGACTTAAGAAGTGAAAGTTATCAGGAATTATTCCAGTGTGTAAAAGAGGGTAAATTGTTTGGGAGGATTTGAGTTTGTTTGTTTTTTTGTCCAGTTCATACTCCAGACCAGTTGATGGCAGTAATGCCCCATCTGTTGTTTGCCAACCGCCAATAACATTTAGAAGGAGAATAATAGGAAAAGTCCAGCAGCAGAGATCACGTATGATCCAGGCTGTTGCTGTGAACTCGTTCAGGCTCTTTGCGTCTGCACAAACAGCACTCAACTGCCCACGGTTAGCTGCGGAAATCAAACAACTTATTTGATTTGATTTCTGCACATGCAACTTTTGAAGCGCTGGGCAGCGTTAACAAAAAAAATGGGGAAAAAAGCATTCTTGACCTCTGTCCCATTGTCCAAGTCCATAGTCACCTGTGGACGCCCACTCTTGGAACAGCATGATGCAAAAACTGCAGATTTTGGAGTAGGGACGCACTTAACTCTACACTTTAGACGAGTCGGAATTGAACCCTAACCCTCACTAGGCACAAGACACTTTAACATCCCACTCGCACGATGTACACTTTCAGATTTTCAATTGAAAATTTCCAGATTGTTATAAAATTCACTTACTTACTGTACATAATGTCCTCTTTTTGTATATAATTTACTTACTGTATATATTGTTCTCTTTTTGCACACTCGAGGAGCGTTTCAGGACACATTTCACTGCGTGTTGTACTCCTTTAAATATGCATGTGACAAATAAAGAATCTTGACTCTTAAATTTGGGTCCTTTCCTGCTTGCCGCACACAGACGTTTCATGACAGACACAGGGTGTACTATCTTTTTGGGTTTATTTTTAAATCATGACTTATACACAGATATAACTTAAAGCGAATCTTAATGATCAGATTATACCTGTCATACGTTGACATGTGGAGATGGTTGGTGTCTGGCAAATACAGATGCACCGAAGTATAGACTTTGTGGTTCACTCTTCTGCCAGAAGACCCTTGGAAAACATCAAACCCTGTCAAATGGAAAGTATTCACATTAATTTCTTTCTCTCCTTTTTATTAGGTTTATTTAGGTTATCCAAGCAGTTTGTATTTAATGCAGGAAACATGTCCATATGATTATTAAACTTTTTATTAGAATATTGTACAAAGTGTGTGCTCTGTCTATAAAACTGTGTAAATAGGAACAGCTGTCAAATGTAGTGACGTAAAAGCCACCATATTTATTTCGTGCTTATTTTCTGCAGTGATCTGAGCTCACCTCCTATCATGAAATAAGTGCTCCAATCAACTGCATTCTCGTCTGTCAGCATTTTCCTCAAACTCTGTTCATCCGTACTGTAGTATGCTATCTTTTTCATGAAATTCAGGTCACGCTTGTTCCGTGAAATAAACAAAAGCTGTCACAATCACGTGACAAGCGAAAGATTTCCGTCGAGAAAATCTATTCACAGTTTTCCGACGGGATTTAAACACACCCCGGGGTCCGGTCTGCAGATAACTTTGAAATCAGGCCACGTATCGACCACAACTTCTAGTGTAGTCGGTTTGTTCCTGTTGATTCCGTACAGGAAACCGTACACCTGAAAGCACGAAACACCTTTAAGCGCTGCTGAGGCTGTAAAGCACAAAGACACGCGGTTTATGTCGCAGATACCTTATAACTCTTCGGTAAGTGTTTGAGCAGAACTCCTTCAGCGACCTGCAGCTCGTCTCTGTTCAGGACCTTCATGTTTGGATACCGGAGTTTTCTTACTAATGTTTTAAAACATCCCAATCCACCAAAATGGAGAAACCTTTATAAATTATTAACAGTTAAGGCAAAGTCCGTAGGGTTACGATATGCCCGCATTGCTCCGGTTGTGAACTTGTGAAATAAACGTAGCAGGCCACTTCCTGTCATAAAAAATAACGTCGTTAATTCACCGCCAGAAGTTTTTTCAAAAAATAAAAATAAAAAATGCGTGTTTGTTTTCTATTGCGTAGGAAAAGATATAATGAAATCTGCTAGCGTGTTCATGGAGTGTTCAGGAAAAATAAATATAAAATATAGAAATATTTTTTCCACTTCTTGTATCGCAACAACTTTAAAAAGTGGGACAAAGACTGTGCTTATCTGGGACACGTAGATGACTGCTGGGAAGTGGTGTGTTTGGAGTTGAGTGCGTGAAGGACAAATGCACATCTCCCTCTTCCTCTGTAGTTGAATTAGCCTACACTGACTTCCATCTCTTACCAGCAGTCTTTATTTGCTGTAGTTCCATCATATTCTGCACTAATCTGCATAGTTTGTCTTTTATTGGTCACTTTTAATTTTGAGTACAGGGCACCAAACCTGCACTTGACCCATGATCTGACATCAAGCTTCTGCGTTGACTTCAACTGCTCTATCCACCAACGTTTAGGTAGACTGAGAGCAGTGGGAGAGTGGTTAAACAAAGCTCCTTATAGATGTTGAAAATAATGTGAATGGCATTTTCTGTTGTCAGTCATGTCTGTCCCAGATTTGTTCACATTCTCCTTCCTCTTAGTCAGTGGGTAGGTATCCAGAGAACTCATCACCATCAACAACAACAAAGAAGCTCTATTGAGCTAAAACGTCATCCTTGTGTGCATTTACCACACGGACACATTAAAGTTTGTGTGCAAGTTTGACTTTATTTCAAAACTGAATTATCTGGAAAAAAAAAGCAGCTCATGATCAGTTTGACTACACAACAGTTTGTTATTTGCTTGGTTTACTGATGAGGCAAAGTTGCTTCTTTAAAAATCGGGGAGACCTAGTTTGTAACACTGGATAGTGGATTTTGGAAATTTAAAACAAGTTTGATTAGTTAAGCAGTGCAGTAGTAAAGGCAACAAATACTAATATTAATATATTTATTCCACCTACAGGAAAGTGCATTGCAGTCTAAGAGAAGATTATTCTGACACAAAGGTAAGATTTCCCAAGCGTTCTCGTTCTAGCGTCCCACGTAGATCTCAGTGTTGGCATTCATTCTTCAGTAACTCAATGGAATTAAGCCATGGGCGGCTCCACACTTCGAATGTGCACTGGTAGGGCTGAAAGGAAAAACAGACAATACATTTAACATTAGGATCTTTCAGGTGGTGTTGTCAAATCATGTCAAGTACGCAAAAAAAATTTTTTTTGATTTATTATGAAATAAACAAAACATAGAAACATCAGAAATCAATTTGTTTCACATGATCACTTTTCAACAGGACACCTGTCGTCAGCTGCAAAGAGATGTGCATCGAGCAAATCACTTCCAGTGTGAATGCAGCTTTAATTACAAGGCTGCTGCATGATGTTTAAGAACAGATCAAATATCTTGCTTCTTTTGAGAAGATGCCATCAGTACCTTAGCCTTTGCCTGATCTGTGTGGATTGCACACACTTCCTCTACACCATCCTTTCTGCAGGGGGTCTTTGCCATCTTCACAGTTATGACGTACTTGATGCCAGCGACCACCTGTAATGGGAAAGAAATTGAATACAAGATTTACAGCAAATTAACTCCTCCTCCTCCTCCTCCTCTTCCTCTTTAAACCACCCGTGAGCAAAGAAGCTCACCAATGACTAGAAAAAACACAAACATCAACACGCTGCTACGCTAGCCTTGTCTCAGAGTTCAAGAGGAGAGCCAAATAAACTTAAAAAAATTAATAAATACATGACTCGTCAGCATATTAACCAATCTTTAGCAAAGATGTGCTTTTGTCGGGTTCCTTTTTTTCCTAAACCCACACTGCTCTTTTGTTCGGGCGGGTCAATGGCTGCCTCCACACAGGTACACAGAACATTGCAGACCTACTGCTCAAGCTAGGTTGAGAGGATTAGGGAAGATTAAAGAGGCCAGCCATGTTTTGGGGAGTACCAACGCCATTAAGAAGGCATACAGCAAATAAATTGTATGTAACGACCATCGGACGGCCACTAGGACTTTAGTTTAGTGGTTAAAAGTGAAACCTTTAAAGGGCGCTTCGCAGGCCTTTTCTTAAGGGCTCACATCACTACGATGGTTTACTGGATGGCTTTCCCCTAAAGAACAATTCAGTTATTCACGAATCTGACCGTTACTCACCTGTGACTGAACCTTGATCACTTCTGCCACTTGACTGAGGTACAAATCGTTGCTGCCTCGGTTGTGTTGGACGACGGCGAAGTGGAGAGCGTTTTGCACGTCTTCATCGTTGATATCGGCGTCTGTCAAGCCCCCGACCATGGCCCCATACCCAACGGCCAAAGCGGCCGCAAGAATAGTCAAAGCGACTTTCCACATTTTCTATCTTTTGCCTAACAAACACAGGAAACGAAGTGAAACACTCGCCCACCGTGCCCTCCCAGTTATATAAACATCGACGTCACCGCGCGCGAGGAGTGGCATATCTCGCAGCGAATCGGCAATCCCCGCATCAGAGATCGGGTCTGATCCAGGCTGTTGTTGCGAACTCGCTCGCACTCTTTGCGTCTGCACGACTAGCACCCAGGTTCCCGCAGTTATCTGCAGAAATCAAACTACTCATATCGAAAACAAGGTATGTTTAATCTCGCTCGGATTTAATTTCCACACGCGACTTTTGAAGCGCTTTGCTGCGTGACAAAAAAAAATGGGGAAAAAAAGCCTTCTTGACCTATGTCCCATTGTCCAGGTCTAAAGTCACCTGTGGATGCCCACTCCTGGAACAGCACGATGCAGAGACTGCAGGTTTTGAAGTAGGGCGGCACTTAACTTTACAATTATACGGACAAATAAATAGATTGTTCTTTAAGTTTCCCCTAATATTTCCCCACACTTTGCAGGGACACTTTCTTTGGCTTGAGTGCTGCTCAGCAGCAGCAGCTACTGATCGGCTCAGCCGTGGCAGCAGGTGGAATAATGGCCTACATAGTGTACAAAAGAAAAAAACCAAGAACCATTCCTTTAGGGGACGGATGGTGGGGAGTGGGGGAGAAGACACTATCAGAAGATCAGAAAATCTACCCTTTTCAAGTGGAGACCTCAGACAAAGAGATCGAGGTAGGTTTGAGCTGGTAATCCAACTTCTGAATGAACAATATTTGGGCACAGTTATGCAAAGCAATCTTCTTGATCAACAGGATCTCTATGAGCGCATCGACAGGACACGCTACGCAGATCCTTTAGAAGATGGCAAGTTCCACTATGGCTTCAATTCCACTTATCTGAAGAAAGTTGTTTCCTATTGGAGACACGAGTTTGACTGGAAAAAGCAGGTGGCAGTGCTCAACAAGTATCCACACTTCAAAACCAAAATAGAAGGTACATAACAGCTCAGCAGTGAGTATACTGGATGTACGTCAACCCACACAGATATTTGCGCAATAATCAATCAGCAGTTATTATTAAAGTTGTTGTTTTGCTTTTCATGTGTCAGGACTGGACGTGCACTTTATCCATGTGCGTCCACCACACCGCGAGAATCAGAAGGTTCTGCCTATCATGATCGTTCACGGCTGGCCCGGCTCCTTCTACGAGTTCTACAAGATTCTGCCGCTTCTCACGCAAAGCCACGACGGTGTTGTGTTTGAGGTCATATGCCCGTCTATCCCTGGCTACGGTTTCTCAGAAGCCTCTCATAAACAAGGTAGAATACGTCTACTAATTCTAAATAAATCTGGCGGAAGATATTCACAAATGTGTCTCCACTGCCGCTCCAGGGTTCAACAGCCTCGCCGCCGCCCGGATTTTCCTGAAGTTGATGGAGCGTTTGGGCTTCTCTCAGTTCTATCTGCAGGGAGGGGACTGGGGCTCGCTCATCACCACCAACATGGCACAGATGAAGCCTCAGTGAGTGCAACAAAAACAGAAAACATGCCACAGGTTACTCGCTGGAACAGAAAGTCCCTCGCTCGCTTTGTGTTAATGGAAACATTGTGACAGTTCTTACTGGAACTGTGAAGCATTGTTTGCACTGTGCGGACAGATTTACAAAAAAAAAATGGCTGTGCAAATTCCTGAAGAGTGAAGCTGATTTAATGTGAAAACTGGCACTAACTAACTCGCTGTGACCTTGGTAACGTTTTTTTCTCTCGTCTTTTTTCCCCCCCACCATTTCTCTTTTGCAGGTGCGTGAAGGGTCTCCACCTAAACATGTGTATGTCAAATAGGGGTTTCAAAGTCCTGTTGTCCTTGTTGATTGGCCCGTATCTGCCCTTCCTGGTTGGTTTGAGTCGGGAAGATGTTCGCCGGTTGTTCCCTTTCTTTGAGAAGAACGTCTTTGAGATGCTGAGAGAATCGGGCTACTTTCACATTCAGGCCACTAAACCAGATACTGCAGGTGTGACCATAACACAGTTTAGTAAGCTCAGTGTTTCTGATAGTCACAGTGACTGGATTAAAAGGTCAAACAGAAGCTAATGTAAGAGAATCGACCTTAAATTTAGTGATTTCAGCTCTTGATACCGCTTTGTCGTTGCAGGCTGTGGGGTGAATGACTCTCCTGTAGGCTTGGCAGCCTGGATTTTGGAGAAGTTCTCCTCCTGGGCCGATCTGAAGAACAGAGATCTGGAGGACGGTGGGCTGGAGAGGTACAGTTTCTAAATTCTAGGACTGTGGAGATATTTAAATTAACAATTTGATCAATAATTGATTTTATGCAAATATTTTAGTTTTTTAAAAATATTGGTAGGTGTCCCTTTTCCCGACACTAGTCAACAGGGCAAGGATCGACCTAGATCGGTGCAGCTCTAACAATTACGGATTATTGTTTTTCATTCAGCAAGATTTGTGATAGCTGCTGGTTTGTGACTGATAAGAAATTGTGTCATCTGTGCAGAAAATTCAGCCTGGATGACCTCTTGACAAATGTCATGATCTACTGGACCACAGGCTCCATCACCTCGTCCATGCGCTTCTACAAAGAGAATTTGGGGAGTAATCTTAACAACAGAGTGGATTTTAAGTACGTCACTGTGTACTCTCCACACTACACATGAGTGTTTTACCATGTCATGTGATGCCTCTAATTATACATTATATATTTTTTGTTTTAGGACAGAGATTTTTGTGCCCACTGGCTTTGCAGCCTTTCCTAATGAGCTCATGCACTGCCCCAAGTCATGGGCACAAATTAGGTACCGAAACATCCAGTCCTACACTTTCATGCCCAGGGGTGGCCACTTTGCAGCCTTTGAAGAGCCCCAGCTGCTTGCTGACGACCTGTTCAATTTTGTCAAGAAGGTGGAGAAGTCCTGAAGCCCTCAGTGAACTCGCAGACCAGTTATAGCACATCTGTCCTTTATTATTTCAAGCAGGAGACATACAAATCCTTAAGTTGAACATTTTTACACCACGCAGCATCTTATCACTTGATTCGTGACACTCAAATCATTTGCAAGCTTTTGATATATGTAAACATGCTCAGATGACACTGGCATAAAGAAGTCTTGGTCATTAAAAATGTATTGCACTAATAGTGTGTGTATTGCTCTGTGTTAAATGAGGACAAACATTCTTTTAAACGATCATTTGTAAAAGAAAAGGGTAGCACACCATACTGTTTATTTCACTATTGTTTGAATGAACATACTCTGAAACAAAAGAATACGTCGAAATTGATTAAAATATGTACATTTTAATAAAAAACACAAATGTTTAAAGTTCCCTTGGATTGCTGTTAACATTTACTGTAGTACACAAGCACCAGAAAGAAAGTGCTACACTCTAAAGACTTACTGTCCAACTTTTAGGGTCAGTTACTGAAGCCCTTAATAGTCACAGGTGCCTGAAACCACACATAATCCTCCCAGTCTGACCCTTCCGCCCTTGGTTCCTTGCAGACGTTTGGATCGCTAGACAGAACGATGATTTGTTTTTTTACACGAGTTGGGACTTTAAATTGGAGTTTGGGTCGAAACCAGCCTACACCACAGTCCCTGTGAGCCAGCACCAAGACTGTGGTGGGCATTAAGCGAACAGGTCTGGTGTCAGACAAAAGGTCAGCCACAAACAGTGTGCGGAAGATCTGCCTCAAGCACGATGACACCCGTAGACACAGATTCCCACCGGATGATGCCAGGGACTCCATGTTTATCTCGTACAGCTCTTTGGGGAGGACAAGCGAGCCACCCATTAACAGGAGCACACGGGGCACCCTGCTGAGGGAGAACAGCACCTCCAGATGCTGCAGCACTTCCTCCAGCTCCTGAAGGGTCTGCTGACACTTGCGCCAGTCCATGTCTGCTGAATGCACCGGTCTTCGATTCACTACGTCTTTATCCTGAAAAGCAAAAGAGACACCAAACATGTCGTGTTAATCTCACATCACCAACATTTCGTCAACTGAACAGCTGGAGGCATCTACCATAAACTTTTCCTGTTCACCTGCACCGACGCTTGCTGCTTCCTCTGGGAGTATACCAACTGGTCATACGTCATGGGCAGCTGCTGTCTTTGATAGAGGATGCACTTGAGGATCTCGCTGACGAAACGACAGCAGCCTTCCTGAGTTACAGTCCCCGGGAAGACCACGTTCACGCAGCCTTCCTCCTGTGCCCTCCTCACCACCTCGGCATCTCTGTCCTCTGCATCACTTTGTATACTGGCAGTCACTTTAATATGTTTAAAACCTCCCTGACAAGAAGCGTTATCCTCCTCTGTGTTATCTGGAAAAAACAACAACAAACAAACAAAAAATCAGCTTAACATTTATCTGAAAAGCCCATCTACTATACCACTAGATTATATATTTGTAGACTTGTAGGATGTGTTGGTCTGCAGCATTTCTGATGTAGCTGATAGAGCTGGGCTAAACAATCCCAATATCCATAGTATCGGATCACTACTAGTGTGAGAGTCCCGTCAGTTCAGTGTGTAAAACTGAATTATATTAAATAATTTTTTAAACCCTCAAACATGCACCATGAAAAATGCCTGAACGTCTTTGAGTTGACTGTCACGTCTGTTTTATTTATGACCTACAGCACATTTAAATAACAAACTATTTGCTTCAATTTCAAAATACACCAAAAACAGAAAGGTGTGTTTTTGGTGTATTAAATAATTATAGCAGAAAGTTAGAAACAAAAATCAGTGATTTAATGGTCGTTAAATGTGTTCATTTGCATATTGACGATAATTCATCTGATAAATCATGACACACTGCTCTCCCTACAAAAGTTGCCTCTATAGGTTAAAAGTATTTGCAAAACTGACTCTGTATTTACTCGGTACCGAGTCGATACCAAAATGTACAGTGTAGAACAACAGAAGTAGCTCTAGCTGTTTTCTCCCTTGAAATCAAATTTACATCAAGAAAATAACCACAAAGTACTAATATCCTTAGACCAAAACCTTAATATAGTTTAAGAAACGTGATCACAGCAGTGGGTCTACTGTGATCACCCCCTCCCTCGTTGGGGAACACATGCACTCACACCGGTTATGTCACCTACTTTGATCGGCGGGTATAGCGGTGTTTTCCTTATCGTCAGTGTCGTTCACGCAGTGCTGTCTAGAAGAGTCGTCTTTTAACTTTACAGCATTTTTACCCTTTAAATGTGTGTTTACGGGACTTGGGGAACGTTGTTTGCTGATTTCCGGGGAAACTCGGCTTGAGTTTGGGTCTTCGGATACAGCTTGGACCTCAGGCGGTGTCTTCGGTGCCTCCGCTATGCTAATATCCTTTTCCGAGGAGAAGGAAAGGCGTCTCTTTATCCCGAGGTCTCTGCTTTTATCAGTGGACACATTTTCCGTGTCCTCGGAGTTTGATATTATTTTTAATATGCTCGAGTCTTCTGCCATAGTTTTGAATATCCGCGCCGGGTTACGTCTTTTTTTTCCCGGTGCATCATGGGAAATGCTCGTCAAAGGGAAAAAAAAGCCACATTCACGTCACATATAAAAAAATAGAAAAACAAACGATGACTTTAAACTACCGACGGCCTTCTTATTGGTTCCTCAAACAAAACACCCTTAAATGCGTTTATTCTTACTGATTATAATTTCAAATAAGGCGTCTATTAAACTCCTTTAACTGTGCTAGCGTGTAACAGCTCCTTAAGTGGTTAAAGTAACTCAACGTATTTTTTCCCCTGACCATTTAAATAAACATTTTATTGGCTAAAATAAACTGAACTCCTGAGTCTCATTTGGAGCAATTACAACTGCCTCATTCAAATCACCTTAGGTTCACCTCTAGCCATTTAGAAAGTATTGGGTTTTATCAAATAAATCCTGCGTGTTTTTACATTGAATTTATTTACTGTTTTATTTATTAGATATTTAAACTACTTGAAACTCAGTTAAAGTCTCATTTAAATGCATAAATATTGACTGATCCTCATTAAAGAACATCAGACAGTCACGTTATTTGTAAAGGTGAGCAAAAATAAAAGAATTTAGTTGGGGTGCACCCTAGCGGTTAGTTTGTGCAGTACATGGAGAAAACAAGGGCAAACCTCAGGTGTGATAATTAGCAGTGAAAACTTCTACAGATATCCAAACGTTTCTTTTAAAGAAGCACAAAGAAAGGTGGGGGAAGCGGCTGGACATTGTTTTGCCAGATTTCTTTTTAAAATATTAATAATGACTTCAGTGCGAGTAGCAGTCCGAGTCCGTCCATTGAACAAAAGGTAGGGAGAATGACTTCTTTTATTATCCACCAAGCTTTCAAAATGGGCTGTCTGTCACCCCCATACACTTTTCACAGAGAAAAGCAGTTATCCTCGAAGGTGATAATTCATATGAAGGAGAAGACAGCAACCATTCAAAAGGTATAGGTCTATTATCACAAAATGAAACGCACTATACTGCAGTAAATGAAGTTATTACTGAAAGTCAGCGGTACCTGCGTTTATAATTTTAGCCCACAGTTCGAGGGGACGAGCTCAAGGGCGCAGGGAAAACCTTTTCATATGATTTTTCATATGACTCATTTGACAGAAGAAGTCCCACGTTTGCATCCCAGGAGAAGGTATCTGGATTGTTCAATATCTCACCTGTTTAGAGATTTTATATTCCTTGTGAATTTTTAGTGGGGGTTAACGACCACGACTTTAGTGTGAAAGAACTGTTTTCCTAATTTTTAAATAATCTTTTCTCTGCTGCCTCAGATCTTCCGAGACTTGGGGTTTGAAGTCCTGAAAGCTGCATTTGAGGGTTACAATGCCTGCGTGATTGCTTATGGGCAAACAGGCTCAGGGAAGTCCTACACTATGATGGGTCCTTCAGTAAGGTCTTCTATTAACTTGGCAAACATTGTAACAAAAGTTTAAATGGAATTTATTGATGATTTGTGTGGGGTGTTTTTTTTTCATTAAAATGCATTATTATTATTATTATTATTATTATTATTATTATTATTATTATTTTAGCTTCCAATCTACTGGCAGGTGACAAATAAAAAAAAAAAAAAACAACCTTAAGTGCCTTTGTGGTGTCCCGGTACCTTAATATTGTTTCAAGTCTCTCAAAGTTGAATTGAGGGAAACCATGGATCTCAAAGATGCTTATTTGGTGCTTTCATTATGATGACAGGGATGGAGAGCTCTGTCACACACATCAGTCCAAACTTTCACATAGAATTAGTTTGAGAGCTGGTGACTGTAAAGGTCACGGCGTACGGTACTATTCACATTCATTTTCACACTGTTTCTGTGAGTCATCGTGCCCTGTGGATAGGGACTGAATCCCTTCACTGTAGGAGTCAATGGTTCAAGTCTGTTCTTTGACATGCCATCAATAATTGTGATAAGCCCTTTTTGAAGGTGCATGCCTTTCATTCAGTTTTTTTTTTTTTTTGTCCTTTTTTACCAGAATAATGTGAATAATTTGTGGTGGAAAAATTGCATTTCATTCTTTTTAGTTTTGTTTTTATTTGAGGTACAGGGCCTATTTTTCATGCCTCATTTCAAAATGCATGCCGAATGTGACCTGTAAATAAACCCGACCATAATCAGGGAATTATGGGATGTCACAGCTCTTTACAGATAACACTGCAGTAGTGCTAACCCCACTGTGCACACAGCACTGACTTCTCGTCGCATTAGAGGCTGGCTGATAGCGGCCTCATCAGGTGTGTTTGTTTCTCCTTACTAATCAGAAAATTTGATGAGGCCAGCAACCCACCGCTTTTTTTTTTTTCCTCACCTTGCGCAGCAATGGGAATTTCACATTATCAGTGAGGTTTCAGCTTGTCTACCAGGAGACTTTTGCAAGGTCATCACCAGAGCTGCTGTCAACATCCCAGATAATTATATATGGCTTTTAATGCTTACTATCTGTTACTTTGTAATTAAAACAAGGGGGCATGTAGCTCAGACTGGAATTGCTTTTATGCTTCAGTAATTCTATATCAGGATGAGCTGTTTGTGTTATTCAGCAGACTTTGCATATACTGAGTTGTGGTCATGGCACAGCATTACATAGTACGACACCCAAATTAAAAGAGCATAGCAGGAGCATAATTGTCATTTTAAAGTGTCTGTATCATTTTGTTTCCTTTCTAATGTGTCAGCACGATAAAGGTTTAATCCCACGGATCTGTGAAGGCTTGTTCTGGGAGATATCTCACAGGAGCAAGAGCGATGCCGTGATGTTCCACACAGAGGTCAGGTAAAGAACCATCACACTTAACTCAGAAATCATATTTCAGTAGAGAGAAACTTATTTTTTGTCAGTGATGGACCTTCAAGTTTTTTTTTTTCCTTATTATTTTTATAGCCTCTGACAGTGGACTTGTTTCAGGTTGTCCTGACAGACTTCAGTGTGGCATTGGATACCGCTGACCACAAAATGTTATTAGAGATTAAAACACAGCATTGATAATAAAGACAATGTGCTCCAGTGGTTTAAATCTGTCAGATTGTAATTTGTGCATGTAAATTGGGAGTCTTTAACACATGTAGCTTGGTCATTGTTCCACAGGGTTCTGTGCTGGGACCATTTATATTTACATTATATGTGCGTCATTAAATTGCTTCAGCAGTATCATTAGAAGGCATAGCATAGGTTTTCATTGCCATGCAGATGGTACCCAGCTTTCTTTACCCATGAGACCAGATAACAAAAATCAGTTATTAGGGTTAGCTTAATGACATCAAGACCTGGGTTACATTTAAATTTCTTCTAAATTCAGACAAACCCAGTGTTGCAATATTTGGCCCTAAAAAGGAATCTTGTAGTCCTTCACTGCAAAAATTAAATATGTTGGACTGCTTTCTGACATTTGTGTAATATCTCTAAGATTAGAAAGATCCTGCCTCAGAGTGATGCTTAAACTAGTTCATGCATTTATTACTTCTAGGCTGTACTGCTGTAATTCATTATTAAGTTGTTCCAAAAATTTCCACCAAAAACTTCAGTTAATTCAAAATGCTGCAGTAAGACTACTGGCAGGGACTAGAAAGCACATTTCCTCTATATTAAGTTCTCCTCAGAAGTGAATTTAATATCCTTCCCCTGACATATAAAGTCTGAAATAATGAGGCCCCATCGTATCTTAAAGACTTCATACCATCATATTATCCCAATAGAGCATTCTGCTCTCAAACTGGCTCACTTGCTGTTGTTAAGTTTCTTAAACTGGAATGGGAGGAGGTAGCACCTTAGCTTTCAGGCCCCTCTCCTGCGGAGCCAGATCCCAGTTTGGTTCCGGAGACAGTCACCCTCTCTACTTTTAAGATTAGGTTTAAAACTTTAATTGTTAAAAAGGACTTTTTCCTTCCCACTGTCACAAATTGCTGCTCATAAAGAGTTGTCTGATTGCCGTGGTTTTATTCAGAATACTGTAGGATCTTTACGGTTTAAAGCACCTTGAGATGGCTCTTGTCAATTGGTGCTATATAATTCAGCTTGAGTTGAATTGAAATGAAACTTTATATAAGCATTAATCTCAGAGAGAATTGTCATCCAGTTTGAAGGGAAACAAATTTAAAGAGGTGGTTCTGCTTTGCTGGGCAGGTTAATTATCATGCAGAATGTGGAGAACGAAGGATATGAAGCAAAAACGTGTGCAATGCTGTTGTTTCACAAGAGACATGGAGGCCAGTGAATTAAAAAGACTTTGGGCATTAAACAGTTTTATAAAACTACTGGTGTTGCTGGAGAGCATCTGGATACAGACTTTTTCCTGTTGTTTATATGAAACTATGTACTTTGTGCAAAGGTCTACTGTTTTTAGCCGATGGTAACTCAACTCAGAAGTCAGAGTGATGTATCCGTGATGATTCTTATTGAGTTGTTCTTGATTGTAGAATATACATGAGCCAGCAGTAATAAAGGGTAAAAAACCCATTCCTGTTCATCATTATTCTCACTTTGCTGGAACAGTCACATCATTTAGAAAAATTGAAAGGCCTAAATGTAATGAAACCAGAAAAAGGCACAACGTTTTATTGCTATAACCCTGTAATGTTCAAAATCCCAGATGAAATCTAGTCTCATCACAGTGTGTTTTATGTCCCAGCTGTTCCCCTAAATTATTATGTTAGGAGATTAGATTGCTGCTTTTAAGTCAAACTACTTTGAAATCATTGTTTTGCCATCTGTTTGCATGTGCACTGCTGGCACATTATTTGCATTTAAATTAACTCTGTAATTGGATTTTATTTGATCGCGTTTGCATGTCTGTGTTTTTTATTTTTATTTTTTATTTTTATAGAATATCTTAAAAAGACTGAGGTACAACATTTGACAATTAACACATCTGTACTTGTTCTTTTTTTTTTTTTTTTTTTTTAATAAGCGAAAGAAGCTGCAGAGCTTGACTTTGTGTTTTTTTTTGTTTTTTTTTTCCCTCAGAATACATCAAAATAAAACAACATCAACAACAAAATGCTAAGTTTGCTGTCTGAGTTCTCAGCCCTGTGCTGGGAAAAAACATACACGGCTACATGAGCAGGGCATGGTTCCTCCCATTTTATTACTGCCATGCATGCTTCTCTAAAGCCTAATTACTTTATGCCCCACATTGTTTGTTTTTGAATCAGACACTAGTCCCATTGCGTCTTGCACAGATGCACCATAACTTTGATTAACCTCATAGGACCTGCCGTCCACATATGTGGACATCACATTTTGGGTTATTTAGACCAAAATACTCAGTTTTGCTCTACAGGGGCCTGATATCCACTTACGAGGACATTATACTGCTACTGTTCTATCAAAATTTCAAATGAATATCCTCATATGTGGCTCTCATTTTTCTCAGAAACAAATTGGGTAAAAAACAAACAAACATTTGGTAATTCTTTGTTTTGATATTTATCAGGTCCCAATCAGCCCAAATATCAAAGAAATTAAAAATGCATGCCGTGGAAGAGTTCAGGTCTTAGGAGGTTAAAGCACTCTGTCAAACCTGCTTTCCATATTTTTCATTATTTCTTTTGCCAGTACATGCAGAACGCCATAAGAAGAACCATTTGGCCTCACTGTGCATCTCTTTTCTTAGAGAGTTAATAGTAACTTTATTGGTATTTGGCATGCAGATTAACAATGAAAACAGATATTCCATTGCATCTTTGTCACCTTTTTTAAAAATAAATCATGGTTCTACATTGTATTTTTATCTTTGTACCAGCTATCTTGAGATCTGCAATGAGCGGATGCAGGATCTTCTCAAAAAGAGAGCATCACCTACAGATGATGGGGGCTTGAGCGTGAGGGAGCATCCTAGGCATGGTCCCTATGTAGAGAGTAAGACTGCTTTTATCCTGTATTCTATGTCCATCCTAGCTGTGTTTGCATAAAATCTGATGCAAAAAATATATATAACTCATAGATCTGTCCAAGCATTTAGTACAAAGCTACAGTGAAGTGGAGGGCCTGATCATTCTCGGCAATGCCAAGCGCACCACAGCCAGCAGGGGAGTGAATGACTTCAGCAAGCGCTCTCATGCCATCTTCACCATAATGTTCACCCAGGTGAAACACAGTGCTTGATGTTTGAATTTGGCCAAAGTAAAATGTTTGCTAGAGATCTGTGGGTGTTAACAAAAGCCGTCCCCCAAAACCGCTGAGACTTTTATGAGATAATGAGACCTGATCTGTTGTGGTGTTATTTTTCACAAGCTTTCATTTTCTCTGTTTGTGATATCACTTGTATACGGAAGTATATTCTTCTGTGATATTGCCTTTTTTGTTTCCTGGGACAGGTGTGGTGTGATGCAGAACCGTTATACGAGACGGTGAGTAAGATCCACCTGGTAGACCTGGCAGGCAGCGAGAAAGTTGATCCCACACGCACAGTAGGAGGCAGGTTGAAGGAAAGTGCCGACATAAACAAATCTCTGGTCACATTGGGACATGTGATCTCAGCTCTAGGTAAAGGCAGTCAGTCATTTTGCTGTGGAATTACTGTTTGGGACCTATTTACAACCCTATTTTTTTTTTTTTTTTTTTCTTAGCTGTCAAATCAAACTCTTTACATAGAAATCTATATGAAAGATGGATGTAGCTGTGCAGCAGAAGGGCTTTTAGACCTATACTTTTTACAATGGCCAGCAGAGGGCGACTCTGCTTATTTTTTTTAAAATGAGGTTTATTGTTGAGATGTTTGTGGGATGCTTCCTTGTAAAGACTTTAGATGGGTTTATGTCTCAGTCTTTACTTTCTAATATTAATACTAATATTTGTTTTGCAAATGACAGTCAATTACAGGATAAAAAAAAGGATATTAAGCAAGATATGCTTAGACATAACTTCACTGACCAGTGAGGGATATCACATTGGCTGAATTTATCTTTTAAGTAGTCAAGTAATTTAAAACACAAACAACACAAAATAAACGACCCTTGAAATTATGGTTGAAATGCATATTCCATTGATAATTAGATGCCTTTTTCTGAAGAATACATATTTAGTAGTGAGCATTTAGTTCTCAGAATTTATATACAACTTGTGGATGAAACATTTTACCTTTCTAGTATTTGACTGAGTACTTTTGTTTTTGATACTCTCAGCTGACCTTGGTGTAGGAGTGTCAACAACAAAACAGATCTTCATTCCTTACAGAGACTCTGTGCTGACATGGCTGCTAAAAGACAGCCTGGGTGGAAACTCTAAGACTACTATGATAGCAAGTATGTATTACTTAATTCTTACCTGTTTTTGATATTGGAAGCATTATTAACCACACAATTCTTTTATTTTCCATCTTCTGTTTTCACACTCCTCATGAACATGTCCTCTCTTGATGACCCCCCCCCCCCCCCCCCCCCCGGCAGCCATTTCTCCTGCTGATGTGAACTACATGGAGACCCTGAACACTTTGCGTTTTGCCAGTCAAACTAAAAACATAGTGAACTCTCCCACAGTGAACGATAATGGCAGTATGAAGGTGATGAGGGAACTGCAGTCAGAGGTTACCAAACTCAATCAACTACTAAAAGAAGCCACTCAGGTCCTGCATATGCTCACATTCACAGGAGGCATAAACATCTTATAGTGTTTCTTGTTCAAAGCTTATTTTGTAGGTTGTATTGTTGTCTTGCTGTTACTTTAGGTTGGGCATGAGGTGCCATTATCCTCTGTGGATGTAAAGGAGGAGCTGAATGAGACAAAGGTGAGTCATCCTCTGCAGAATAGAAATGAAAGGCATTTTGAAGTTCCCTTTTGTAAATAATAAACCTGTTATTTCTGCAGTCCCTCCAGGCAGTAGCATTGACCAAGAACAGAAGCAGCACGTGGAGGGAGACACTGAATATTCTGCAGGTACAAAAATGATTCATTCATGCATTTAAATATGAACGTCTGCTTGAGAATCCTCGGGGCCAATTTACCATTGGTGTGTTTGACTCACAAATGCCAGCGGGTTATATTTGATTCTTGGATATGAGCTAGAGGATAAGACCGGAGAGAAGTACTTGTTGCCCTGCATTGTTCCATTGAATAGGTTTGTTGTAGTTCTTCCATTTAATCAGATGTACAGACAGCCCAAACCCCTGTACCTGCTTTTCTTTTGCACAGAGTTGGGATAAACACTTTAGAATAAAATGTGAAGCAGTTTAAGAGTAATGTTAAGCGCCCTTGCTGCTTGCCTAATTTTCTATGTCCCTCTTTGGAATTATTTGTGTTATAATAAATTATGTTAAGAAAGATATAAAAATGATTCCACTTAAAGTTTGGAGCAGAAAGATATGTGATTAGAACAGGAGGGCACAGAGTATAGAAAAGGTTTTTAACACTATTAATCAGCAAAGCAGCAAGCTCCCCAAAGCAGTCTTAGTAGGTTTTACTGCTTGCAGTGAGGAGATCCTGCCAGCTGGTGTCACTGCAAGTCTTGTGAATAACTGCTTCACAGGGAGTAGACTCAGTCTAGCATTTAAATAAAATTTTTACATCTATTTGGATGCAAGTGGCATCCAAAAGGGGAGCTCGTATAATGGTTGTAAAGTTGGGTTGCAACAGTGTTTGGGGAGCATTACAAAGAGAAACAGAACAGATATGTCTTCTCCCTCAACAAATATGACTTTTCTGAGGCAAAAATGGGGTGGCAGCAGCTTCGAAAGACTCCAAGGTGAAACAAAAAATGGCAGCAATGCCAGCCGAAAGTGAAACTTAACTCTGTTCCTCTGCTGAGTTTATGCCCGACCTCCCAAAAAACACCAAATATCATTTGTTTGGGTCTCCTTGTGTTCAGCCAAGAAGCGTCTTGCATTATGCATTCAACCGTGAAGCGTGCCAGTCATGAAAAGTATGGCGTGACCTCTTGTCTCTGTCATTATACATGCTATTAATGCATTCCTTTTAGTGGTTTTTCATGGCGTTAAGCTATTTTGTTGTTGTTTCAGATTTTGAATGATGTCTGAATATGTGTGTGTGTCAGCCATTAGTAATGCAGCAGCAAAGTAAGAGGTTTACTTTGCTTTTATGAGGACATTGTGTAAGAATTTAAATACCATACACATGAATGTCAGCTATATGTGTATGGTGAATAATTAACATTCTATTCAGATGGTGGTTAGTAGGTGACATTTAGTGGTTTGACAGCCCTTTTATTCCCGGGCATGTATCGGAACTCATTAGCTTCTGTCACGGATCCTAATTAAGAGGTCTTGATTATTGACATATGGTACTTTCATTTCTGTCTGTCCAGCATGTTAATTAGAGTTACTATGGTATAAATCTGTTTGCATATTCGAGCAGTGATAACTTTATGCTCAAAGGCAACATCACCCATCTTATTTTTTTTTTTTTTTTTTTTTAAACAGCTGTGCTCATTCATGTAGACACATTGTTTAAAATGCATGATACAATGTGACACCTAGGTGAAAAGGCCAGTGCACTGGTGACCGGTAGGCACATTTGTGTTGGTGAAACTCTAAGTGTTTGATGATTGACTTTATGGATTTGACATTTGTCTTCTTGTGCATTTGCATTCTGCCTGGGTGCAAAATGATAAGTGGGATTCCTGCATGGAATGCTGCAGATATTAGAGGTGGAGTCTGTACTAGGATCAGTACAGAGATGCACCTCAAGTGCAAATGGAAGATGGTCATTTTAAAATTCAGCAAAAGCACCTAAGGGGGGAAAAGCTTTAGCTATAAGGTTGAATGCAGATGCAGTATGGCATCAACACGTTTCATATGAGGAAAAAGGGTTGGAAATGGGTTTTATGTACATTACCTGTTCTCTATATCTAGCATATGGTTTTTAATTTAAGAACCATCTTCTCCACATCTCCAAGTTTCATATATTTTGTGTTTAATTCAGGTCCTCCTGTTGCTGAAAGCTTGATGAGAATTTCTGCTCAGGCCTTAAGGAGACAAGTTGACCAAGAGCGGTGTAAACAGAATTTTGAATTCTGTATTCAAAGCAGATTTAGAATGCAAAGTTATTCATCGTCAGCTTCCCAGATTGGTTACAGGGCATGTGGGAAAGAGAAAGTAATTAATATGAGATGGATTCCGGAGCAGCCTCTTACCAGACGGAGGCGGCAAGAGATTGAGAGAACAAAAAAGGCAGGAAGAGGGTAAAGTTAAATGTTTTACTGCAAGGAGGCTGGTGGGGGTGGGGGGAACCTTAAACAAAATTATAATATACACACACACGCACAGATATTTGTAAGTAGTTCCTACTTCATGAGCAGAATTGCACCCTGCTCCCCCAGCCAACCTTTTGGGTCCCCTTGTAACACAGTGTTGTGGGAGGGACTTCTATTTCAGTAAGATAAAATGAACCACGGCTTTTCTTTGATCGTCGTAGTCTCTGCATTTCCCAGACATGCTACAATCAGCACAACAGCACAACTTAAACCCCGCTCTGAGCCTCGCTATGTTTAATGTGAATTTTATTTGTAGTGTCAGCAGTTAACACAATGTAATTATTATAGCATTTCACAAGCTGTATAAGCCTTTCTTCACATGTGGGCAAATCTTGGCACAAAACTGAACTGATTTTCCTTCTTTTTCATACTGAGCATAGTTAAAACAAACAAAGGTGTTCTTAACTGACTCCTGACAAATCAGCTGATGACAGTGCTAGCTCATTGCATTAATGTACACCTGCAATCCACCAGTGTTAATTTTGTCAGCAAATTTTGATTCAGTTTCGATCATAGCCTTTTGTTAAAACGCCTTTTTAGTCGTACTTGAGGCATCTGAATTCTTTTAGTTTACCAGAGATCATGAGATCATTGATTATGAAGTTGATTCAGTTGATTTAAAATATAAAGTGTTTAAATTTGTTCTGCTTTGACCTGTGAGTGTTGTTCCACAGGGTTTACAGGAAGACTTATTTTCCTTGACATCAAACGCAAAGTGTCCATATGACTTCTCTTCCTCCCCAGTGTTAATATTTTGTTGTTTTTGTGAGAAACTTTGAGCATGGGAGTTAGTTGTACAGTTTACAAATAGCGCCTGGGGGAACTAACCCGGCCTGCCTTTCTAACACAACTTAATTAGTTCTGATTGGATCTCATTTCTCCAGAATATTTTAATTTCATTTTTGCTGTCGATGACTTCATAATAGTTTTTGTCTCTTAACTAAATAAAACCTAATCGTTATCTTTATTTTGAAGTTATTGGAGAACACGCAAGCCACTTTGCAACCTACCTCAACTCCAGGTACTGCAGGATTGTCTCTGACACTTGCTTGCTCCGTTCTGTGCCAGGTCTTGCTGCTGCTCTCCCCACCTTTTGCTTTCCATTTATGCACGTGGAAGGAGGAGAGGGCCATACTGCCAAATATAAATTATGCAGATGGAAATAACAATCTGTTTTTATTACAGCGGTCCTGACTTCACCTCTACACTCTTCTTGCTCTGTCCCTAAAATCAGTTAAACTTGACATATTGGCAAGATAACAGTTAATGTCGCTGCAGTCTCCTTGAATCGGTGAAAGTTCAGCATGTTATGTAAAGCATTGCATGTGACAGCTATTGACTGCATGCATGAATGCATGACCACATGCTGATGGCTAGAAGGCATATCAGGCTAATAAAACAACAGTTGATAACCAGTTGGTTGAAATTCAGCTCTCACATGTAGTATGCTCCCAGATAACAAAGCATATTAAAAATAAATCACTTTTAATGAGGTGCCAGGTCTCTTTGATTCTTATTCAATTCTTAACTAGCATTCATTGCAAACAAAAGGCTTTATGCCATTTGAAAACGTGCCTTTCTTTTACATGTCATTTTAACTTTTAAAAACATTGCAATCTGGGATTCAACCTTTTTAATGTGACAAAGAAATCTAAATGCCATTTATTTTTTCATAGACTGTTTTGGCAAGTTGCTCCACTTGACAAAGAAGTCGGAAAAGTCGATTGGTTGACTGTGTTTTGAAATGCATATTGTCTAAGTCGGGAACCTGACCTGTCAAAGTGCTGTAAAGTCCATTAAAATTCTACCCAACCACAAATGATGGCTTTTAATGGAATCCTAAATGCTGCCCAAGACTGGCTGCTGGTCCAGGCCACGGTTAATTACAGTATGTTCACCAGCTGCCTGAGTCTGAACACAGAGTGTGTCCTTGCGTTACACACAGAGTGACTGGGTGTGGTGAGGAGCAAGTGTGTGAATGTGAGGGGAAAATAAGAGGATCTCATCTGTTCCTGGTGTCTGAGGAAAGTGGACACAGTGCATTAATCTGCCAGGCTGCTCCTCACCTCCTAATGAAGTCTGTGAAAAATCCCTTTTAATTAAGTACAGGGGCTGTGGTCGATGCCTCTCCTTCTTCATTAGGAAAAAAAGGATTTCTTCCATCTCGCAACTGCTGATGAGAGAGGTGGTGCTGGTGGTGGACGCGTCTCTCGCTTCACGGTCCAATCTATTCGATAGAGCAGCAGGATGAGGTTGAAAGTTACTTTTCCTAATCCGTGGCAATGTGAGGCAATGGTCCACCAGTTTAACAGGAGGATACTTGTCATAGGGCACTCATACGTGGGTAGACTCTGGGTTATTCAAGAGCAACAGCCATTACACTGCAAGGAAAAGGTTAAACGCTTAGAGAGCTGAGTTTCTCTCTTTATTGCTCAGTTCTGTGTCATTTAAACCTACAGTTCATCCGAAGCAAAGTGTTAAATTTCTTGTTTTATAATTTGCAAATGAACTGCTCTGTGTATTTACTCAGTCAGCAGCTTGTCAGGTCTTTTCTTTAACTGAACCATACCTTTTTAGTCAAGTAAAGAATGGAATTATACAAAGTAAAATGAATATCACTGCCTGACAGACACGTATGCAGTATAGCTGTCTGACTAATGCTGCAACATTTCCTCTGCAACAATTGCTGGAGGCAGTGAAGCGGAATATGAAGCAGATCAGACTTTTAAGTGTAGCTTTCCTGAGCTTTAGAAATGGCTTTTGAGGATTAAATCGATATTTCTACCTATCGGATTTCCATAGAGAACACTATCAAATTATTATTTAGCAGAGGTATCCTTAACAGATTTTACAGTAAAGTAAATTCTTATTTTTTGACTTCTGATTTAACTTCTGATTTATCTACAACTACAGAGCAGTAATGATCCATAAGTTAAATGTGGTGATTTCTTTAATGCTGTTCACTAATTGATTTGTGATTTTATTTATTTTTTATTTATTTATTTTACATTTGTGCTGACTCATGCAATGTTTTATGGTGGAAAAAAAATCTAAAATAAGCACAGGCATTCACTTTAGTGTGACCTTCCATACAACACTGCTTTGGGCAACACTGTAAATTGAAATGAAAGCAGTGGAGGTTTGCCATCTTCAAGTAACGGCAACATACTTTACAAGCTCTATAGTATTTTGATTGCCATGTACCACTAAAGGCAACAGCACATGTTATAACGTGTGTGTGTGTGTGTGTGTTGGGTGAGCCGTATTGCGTCTGTCGCACTCACTGATCACGATGTACAGTTTGACTCTCGCCATGATAATCTAAATGATTTATAGTGTCTCTCTTGCCGGTAGCCAATCTGCTGTTTCATGGTGACACATGGTTGGAATGCTGCAATTCTGCTTGGCCTTCAGGCAAGGAAGAGCAGTCATAAAGAATTCAGCTTTCTGCTGGTTGCCATTAATTGTCTGTCAGCATTTTTATTTTATATTGTATGCCACTCCAGCTACAGGCTATTAAATAAGCTTTTTGTCTTGTGGTATGTTCTCTTGTTCTCTGTAGGAGGAGACGGTGACTCTGAGGAAGGAGGGGAGTGGAGTGGTGTTGGATTGCTGTTTGCCTCACCTTATCGGTGTTGGTGAAGATCTGCAAAGCACTGGAATCGCCCTCTATTACTTGAAAGTGAATAGTTTATTTGAGCTTCATATTTATGCACTACTCTTGATTTAATCGGAAAGTGTCTCAATTATTTTGTCACACAATAACTTTTTGTGTATTTTTATGATCTTCTAATCTATAGGAAGGCAGAACCATAATTGGCAAAGCATCATGCACCCAAGATATTGGTGAGTTGGGGTTTTAACGACATGCTTCTTACTTCAGATTGGCAGCTGCTTTCTTATACTGACTTTCACAATTGTACTGTAGTGCTCCATGGGCCTGGGCTCCTCAGTGTGCATTGTGTGCTTGAGAACATTGCTGGGACTGTAACCCTGTTCCCTCAGGATGGTGCACTGTGCTTAGTCAATGGCTCTGTGGTCACCGATCCTTGCCAGCTGACTCAGGGTAAGCAGTTCTGTAATATTTAATGTACTCTTGACATTCTTTAATGAACACTGGTGCTGGAAACCTATAAGAAAAAAGATTTCTCTCTCTCTCATTCATACATAATCCTTTGGCTTGTGGGAGCCAATACGACTTTCATCCATTTTGAATGCAGTTATATATGATCGCTGCATCACATCTTCAAATGAAATCCACTTTATCTCCCCGGTTCTCCTACTGCCGTGCACTCGGGGCATGAGCGGATTCTGAACACAGCTCTCCATAGGGCAGATGCCATTTCTTTTACTAAACATTTTGAAGGGCGAGAGGCCCCGGACAAAGCTCCAGACAAAGCCCCAGGCCCTCCATTTAATTGGCAGATGGAGTTGATAGGGCCGACAGGTTTGAAGTGGGCCAGAACATTAACCTTTCAAAGGACAGAGGCAAGCCGGGCTGGAACTCTGGCCCCCCTGAGCCGGCACTTCTTGCCAGGGCTGGGAGCCTTCACTGTTTCCTGCTTCCACATCCCGTTGCTTGGCTTTTGAGAGATAAAAACTTTAAACAGAGCCAGGCAGCACAGGGCCTGGCTATGCTAGTCCCTTTCAGAAGCATTTCAATTTATCCAATATCCCCTTCAGAAATGGCTGCATCTGAACCTATTTTCTTGAACAAATGATAGTAATTTTCAGCCCAACAGCAGCTGGATTCCATCACAGGCCGCTCTCTCAGGTACTTTGTCACTCGTCAGAAGTCATTAGTAGAAGCAAGATTAGTAGTCGCTCTGCTGAGAGAGGAGAAGGAAAAGCGGGGAGAGACCTCGTGAAAATCTGTGGATATGGCCACATGAACGCGAGTCTGACATATATAAACCCCAATATCACTTCAATTCTATAGCTTTACAAGACTTCTCAAGTTTCCTTGGACCATTTTCTCTGGTAAATTATCGCCCTGGTCTTGTCCACTGCCAATCATGTTGGGGATTGTGTTCCTGATGGCAATTCATTAACTCACCAGACGAAACTGTGTGGGGGATTTTTGTGCTTTCAGTCGAGTTTCTCCAGTGTTCAGTGTAGATATGGGTCACTGCTATCCCACAACAAAGGGAAGATTCTCATGGCAACAGAAAAATTATGCAGACTGTGCCACACCTCCAAAGGTTTCCTGGCAGATTTGTCACCGGCATCTGTCATTGACTGTACCAGTTTTCCCTATGAATCACATCATATTATTTTTCTTTCTTTCTTTATTTTGGACACCAAATAGTAATGAAGTTCATAATGACTAGTTAATTGGTATTTTCCCATTTTCTTTTCATGTATTATCTCTTTGGGCTCCTTTTAGGTGCCATCATACAGTTGGGAAAAGGAGCCACACTCTGGTTTAACCAACCGACTGCTTCCCAACTTAGACTGAAATACCAGGTATGGTAAAATACTAAAAACCACCGCATGCAGAAAAGATCCCGAGTCTTCTACTACTAGACTTTTTCTAAAGTGTAGTGTCTCTGGGGGGGGGGAATGCCTCAGCTGCATTTTCTGCTGGTAATGTTGTAAAAGCAAGTAAACATCATGCTCTTTGTTGCCATAACTACCTGCTGTAATGCCTGCTACCTTTGACAAATATTACTCATATTGATATCATGTTCAAAATCTACATGAGAAAGTTCCACCACATCACCAGTGGGATCCATATGGCTTTGTTTTGATCAGAATATTAACTATGAGCTTTTCAGTTGGTGCAGGTTTTTGCTTGTTTATATAAAACTCTTTTTGTTTTTGAATAATTGGCTCATATCATGGACAATATGTTCCCAACTTTAGAACTTTCTCACGCTAGAAAAGCCTCCTGCTGTTCCTGAAAGGAGGCCAGGTGCAGTGCCTTTCAAAGCTGGCTGCTATTCGTCCTTTTTGCAACAGCTTCCTCTTGGCTTTTAGTATTTTTAAAGAAGCATTGTGTGAAAGCACAAACTCCCTCACACTCTTGGATACTGCAGGCACTGTTTTCTCTGCAGTAATATATCAATGTAAAGCATTCCTGATTTAAAATCTATTGAAGGCATATTTTTAGTTGGTGATAAAATAAATGTAAGAAGACTTGGATACATTTCATCCAGTATTAAAGTAGAAAAAGTTGACGCTATTAATCAATTAAAAAGTTAACGAGGATTTACTCGACAACTGCAAGTCTGCCACAGCATTTGTTACTGTTCAAATTTATTACGGTTAATTCAACTGTAACTAAAAACTGAAACTGGGTGTGAAAAACATCTCAGTTAATGAAATAAAACCTAAACATTTTAACAATATGGCTTTAAGTCTCATTTATCCAAATGTTGTAATGTAAATGCAACATGCAGAATATGCAAGTGCTCAGCTCTTATCCTCACTGTTCTGAACATTTTTAAACTGCATATAGCTACAGTCAGCAAATACTGATGCTAAATTAGTTTAAACTGAATGAAAAATAAATACCAGTAAATTAAAAACAACTCTAACATCAACACTGTGGCAACAAATAAATTGTCTTTTAAAATGACAGAGCAATCTCTCATTTACTTTTTATTTTCCATATATATTTAGTAGGGGTGCAACGATACACAAAATTCACAGTTCGGTTCGATACTTTGGTGTCACGGTTCGATATTTTTTCGATACAAAAAACATGTTCATGCCTTTTTAATTTGTCATTTATTAAAATTATAAATATATATTTTAACTCAAAAGTACAGTTTTTAAATTTAACCCTAACCCTTGTGTGTGTTTTTTATTTTGACAGCGAATGCGCACCTGCGGACCACTTATGTGCAGCCCTGGTTATTTAGCTCATCATATCGCAGCCACAGAAATTATTTTGTCCATGAAACCATAAAGCTGCACTTTCTCTTTGCCTTATAGTCTGATTTGTCATAACTTCTCCGTTTTGTGGTAAGCTTTTCTTTGGCTGTCACTTCTTCACCCTGACCTGTCTTATTTGGCTCAGCAGAACTAAAATATATATCTGTCTGTGAAGGTTCTCAGTCATCCAGGTCATCGTAGTCAAATATAAATCCTGCTGCTTTTACACACGCACTCACATAAGCTCAGCGATTCTCTGCGCGATCAACCTCTCACATGTTTAAGCTTGCTGCGGGAGATTTCACTTGTCATGTTTGCATAGTAAGCTAACGATTAATAAGACGATGTCAGAGGAATTGGTGCACAAATTATCATCACTCACAGATCAGTGCTGTCGCTCTCTATACACAGTTCGCACGATTGCAAAGTGAAAGCAAAAAAACAAGCGCAAATTCAAACGCAATTTCAATATGTCACATATTGACAGTGGCTCACCGATGCCAATGACATAATTACCCAGCTACATTTCTGAAAGAATGCAAAAGCATTGACATATATTTTTCCTTCCTACAATAGCCCGACGGGCAGGGCAGAGATAGATTTTGGTAGCCCAACTGAAAAAAATCGCTAGCCCCAGGATGTCGGGCTAGCGATATTGCAAGCCCTGTATCTGATTGAGGAATCACTCATCTTTGGAAAAGAGTTTATTACAGAGAAATGTCTCTTTCCAAAATAAAAGCTATACTATCCGCTTCTTCTGGGCTATATTCTCAGCAGCATAAGGAGAATCATGTGCCAACAGCTGTCTAAATGACTCGGCTAAAGTTAGTAGCATGCTTGTTGTTTTTGTCTTTGCACTAGGATGATGTCGGCGTAAATGTGCAGTCATATTCGTTGTGTTCCCACTAGTGCTTTCAGGTTAATCTCGTTGAAATAACGTTAACGCCACAACACGGCAAATCTCCGTTAACGAGCTACCGCCGATCGCTCCGTGCATGGGGCTAGACGGCCAACACGTTAATGAGCTAACTGTGCTAACACACTAGTTCCCACCCATGTAATTGAGCATTGCATGGCACATCCAACATACTGTTTTACTTGAGTCCATGACTCTCTTACCTTCGGGGTCATACGTCACATGAAAACCAAAATAATTCCAAACGCCAGATCTGAATGAGGGTGGGGGAGGTGCCCTGCGCTCTTCCTTCTGACTATGCTGTCTGTGTTGAGCGCTCAGTGGATCTGCGCTCGACAGTGCAGCCTAGGCGGAGTAGTCGAACGCAGATTCACTGAGTGCTCAACACAGACAGCATCGTCAGAAGGAAAGTTGATAAAATAAATTACAAATGTTGTATTGTTCGATACATATGCGTACCGAACCGAAAGCACTGTATCGAATGGTTCAATATCGATACGAATATCGTTGCACCCCTAATATTTAGAGCTATGCTGTGAAATGAACAGTGTACAATTAGCATTGAGTCCTTTTGACATTTGTCTTTTACATGGTAGCAGGCATTGGGATTTATTTTACGCTGATCAACAGAAAAAACATCTGAAAATCTGAATCATTATGCTTGAGTTATTTCACTCATGTGGCCATTTGTAGCTAGAAGTTGAATGTGGAGTGAGTCCCGGTGTGTTACAGATTCTTGTTAAAATCCTGTATGGTGCAGCTGCTGCTGAGTAGGTTTCCAAGGTTCATCTATTCAAGATATGACAAAACGTCTTTGTCGCAGATTTACTCAAACCACCTCAAAAAGGAAAAGTAAGGTTAGTTATTTAAAAATGCGAATACAGTGTTTTACCTTCTCTATGTAAAATAAAGACTATTCTCTGTGAGCCTCTATATGAGAAACACTAGGGGAGCATGTTAACAAAAGGAGCTCTGAAACCATTAGATGATGCTGAGAGACTGTAATGTTGCTTGGCTGCTCACTACTCAAAGCTTTATAGCACAGTGAAATCATGTCATGACACTGAGTGGACATTTTCAGACCTAGTCTCCAAGAAGATCATAATGTTGCACTTGGCTACACACAAGTGTTGAAAATGTAACTAAAGCATACACGTATTCCACAACTTCTCTCTCAACGTTTGTGTTTAAATGTCACATTTTTGGTTTTGGACAGTTAAAGAAATGTCAGATGCGGTCCACCTTAATGTAGTGGAAAGGTGGACGAGGGCTGAGTTTCTCAGGCTGTCCATGGAGCACTTAAGGCACCATACACTGAGCCTCTTTAACATTGAAAACTATATTTGTAGCTTGGTGTTTTCAGCCAAATAAACTGGGGGATGAATAATTTTATAAGCGTGATTGATTATCAACCCTGGTGCTTTGCACTTGGAATGAAAGGAGTAGTACAATGTTAATGTTGCTAAAATGATCACACTAAGAAATTGGAACTTTTATTAAAGTATCAGTGCTCAGTAAAGTTACGAGATGGAAAAAAAAAGAACTTTGTCAGTGAATGGACTGTCAAGCCTGCGACTTTGAGCACCCTGTGCTTTATAGCATTTCATGTTGTAAAATTGATTCACACACCATTTTAGACACAGTTGTACTTCTGGCTTTTGACAGCTCTCTGCTCTTTGCATTATTGAAAGCGGCACGCTATTACAGCCAAGTAAAGCACCGGCATCCAGGCCCCACTGTGGTTCCAAGGAGACTCTTTAACATTCATTTTTAACATCGCTTCTAAATGAGATGGTCTCAAGAGTTTCACTTTCGCTTAGTCTGAATATGTGCTAGCACATCTAGACTGTAGCCTGTATCTGTTGTGTAAAAATATATATATATTTTAAAGTGTTCTGTCTGAATATTAATACAGTTTTACTAAATATGGAAATTTTATTGAAGAATGAAATACTTTACGTACTACCACTTTATTTTAGCCATGTGCGATGGATTCATACGGTATTTTTCTATTACCTGTTTAGACATTTCTGCAAACACTAAAAATGAAGACGCATCAACTAAACCTCTGGTCAAATGCAAATGTAACATAGGCAGCTGTCACTTGTTTCTTATACCGAGGCAGATTTCAGTGCTGTGTCATTCTGTTGTCTGCAGAGTGGATTGCCATCTGTGTTCAGCCCATCTGTGACCGACTCGTCCAACTCTACTGAGAATTTGTCCAAGGCGATGGTGCAAAATCAATGGTAAGACATATGCAGACATGTGTAATGGCTCTCTGCACTTTGTGAGCCCAGCATAACTGCATTCATTCCACCTCAATCTCCGCAACGTGCCTGCTTATTGAGCAGCATTCGTTGGGCACACAGACCAAATCAAAGACATAAATCATGGCACCATTTCTGTGAGGAGAGGTGGGAACATACAAAAAGCCATTCTGTAGTGCTTATTGCTGAGCCCATGGAAATCGGAGCAGGCAGCTCTCCTACAACCAAGGGCATGTCCGAGAATGGCACCTTGTTCACTAGGTAGTGACCTGCCCAGTGTCCCATTTTCAAAATTACTGCAACACACTTAAAGTTCAGCTCCCCTGAAAATTCCCACAATACAGTTAAAAAAAATAAAAATAAAAAAAAAAAAAAAGTGGGGGGGGTTTACTAATGTTCATTAGTAGTTATGCAGTTTCCCTTGTTTTACTCCATCTGCAGCAGATTCTTCTCTTTTTAGGCCTTCTCCCCCCCCCCCCCCCCCCCCCCCCACTTTCCTCTCTGTATCATCAGTAATGAATGATCCAAGGGGTGTTTGATTTATCTATTTTTAAAGTACAGTTCACTTGCTTCAAACCGTTCTGTCTTCTATCACATTTTTGGCATTTATTGGTATTTGATTTGTGAATTTGGTAGAGTAAAGACTGTTTTAATGAGCAGCAGTGATGAAAATAGCAGCCTCTTTTCTAATTTTGAATAGCTAACCAGGTTTGAGGTTTGACTATATGCCAACAAAAAAAAAGGTACTTGCACTGCAGCCCCCCCCCCCCCCCCTTTTTAAAATTTTTTTATTTTTTTATTTTTAAACAATAGCGTACCATGATGTTTATCAGTGTTTGGTAAGGTGAAATCTTCATGCCCTGCCACTCCTTTGAAATTGTGAGTGTTGATTGATGCCAGTGTCTCAGTGTTCAGTGAATTAATGTCCAAAATCTTATTCACCACCTACTAACACTGAGCGTTTTGAGAGACATCCCTGGTCTCATGATCTGCTAACCCTGATGTTTTACAGCATGTGGAGCTGTCTGACACATAATTTCCTTCACACCGCAGTATCCCCATCCTACTCATGTGATTAATACTGCTTTCAGTCTGACACCTGCTTCCCGATCCACTGGTCTGGTGATGTTTGATTTAGATATGAAAGGGTGAATACACATGTATATGGGTTACTACACGGCTTATGTTGGCGGAATAGTGTCTTCATTATCCTACATCAGAAACTTGGTCTGTTGCTAAAGGGAGAAAGGAAGTCAGTCGTGGTGAGTGGTGGAGATAGATTGTCAGTGTTCACAGCAGATCATAGAGAGACTGTCGACAGAAGGAAAAACTCATGCAATGCATATGAGGCACATTGCAAAATAAACTTTGGTTATTGGGTTCTGCTCTGGGTGTCAATTAACACACATCATAAAATATTAAATGATGTATTCATTGTATTTAACATCGCCTCCTCTCACCTGGCAAAGTGCCCATATGCACTGTTTGAGCATAATGGTTCAGTGAAGGACTTTTTCGCTTTGTATTCAGATATGTGTTCAATCTTTTTTTCTACTTATTTGCATAGCAGAATCTCCCTCGCAGCAAGGACAGAATGGATCTCACTTCACTGAGTCATTTTGGAAATGATCCTGAACAATAAATAAGAGCAAATCATTTAAATTCAAATGCTGGCTTTGGAGATCTGTTGGGGTCTGGGAATGACAAAAGCCATCAGTGAAAGGACTCGCAGCTACTAGGGGAGGTGCTCTGTTGCACCAAAAGCAACCTGCCTGTTCAGTGGGGTTGCACACTTTTGAGAGCGCTAATAATTTGGGCAGGAAAAGGCTTAATGCATCACCACAAATCGTTTTGTTTTCCTCACCTGGCTTTGCCTCCAAGAATAAGGTAAAATCACCTCTCCAGATGTTGTGACAAATCTGCATAATAACATTTCAAACTCAGTCCTTTCATTGATATCGAATTCCTAATTGAATATGATACAAAATTAGATGACTTTGTAGCCAGTTCAGATGTTTGAAGACTAAAATTACTCGCGGGTTTTTAAAAAACAGCAAAAATGCAAAATCTCTCTTCACTAGCCTTTTCAGGGATTTGGAATAAATATTAGAGGACAATATGAAATGTGCATTTGGAAGGCATGTACACTCTTTGCGCTTTCAGATTTGTCTTTAAAAACGGTCTAATTTAATTTTCCCTGTTAATCAATCTACACATGATTCTGCACAATGTCAAAGCAAGAACTGTTCATGTGTTTTTATAATTTAAGAAATACTGAAAATATTTAATTTACAGGGTTATTCAGATCCTTTGGGCTTTGATTCATCCTCCTACCAGCAGTCCTTGAGATGCTTTTACAATTTAGAGTCCATTTGTGCCTGATTGTATTCATCGGACATGAAAGGTTTTTATGAAAGATCTCACATTTGATGGTTTAGGTCTTAAGTTTTAGGGCAAACTGGGATACAAGGTCAAAGTATACACCTAAATCTTGTGTAAAGGCACAGAACAGGCTATAACAAGCTGTAGTATTTATTATTCTCCAGTGGAAGAAGTTTAAAACCACTAGTTTGTCTTGGCCAACCAGGCAAGTGGGGTAATGTGGGACAAATGTGCTTGGTTAGACAAGCAGCCAGGAAGACGGTGGTCACAGTGAATGTTTCAGAGTTTGTATGGAGACAACTGTCATTGCATCACTTCACCAATCAGTCCTTTATGGTAGAGATGGAGAACTTGGTCCTAACTGAAAGGAACGTAACAGCCTGTTGTGAGGTAAAATACAGCCGAATGCCACGAGAACCAAAGTCCTTACTCACCATCTATTATGGGGCCAACTGTTTATAATCTAACAAAATGGCAAAATACAGCCGAGAAAAACCAAGTGTCAGTGGAGTCTAGTAGCCCACACAACAAAGGAAGGATATAATACGGTAGTCACACAAAGATGGTTATCAGTGGTAGGTCTGTACAGCTGTAGAATATTAAGGCACTTTATGATTATGTGTGCACTTTAACATTGTGGTCAGCTAAGACTGGGAAAGTGCTATATAAATGCTGACTATAATAGACTTATTAAGATGTCATTAAGACCTGAGGTGAAGGGAGTAATTATGGTTGCTTATTCTGTTAAATGACTGGGTGTAAAACCATTTTAGCCTTATTCTTTCATCTGCAGTTGTGGCAGTATTAAGTATCAAGAGCAATTAAAGAGAAAAACAAAAATAGAATTTATAACTGTAAGCAGGCTAAGCTGTTTCACTAGGAATGGTGATGTTATGAGTTTGGTCCGTATGTGATATCGTTCTTGTTTGTCTCTTCTCAAAACCAATTTGTTCTGAAGCAGATAAGGCCTGCAGCATAAGTTACCCTGCTGTACCCCTGTTAGCACAATGGTAACTTAGTGTACCGAAAACCTGTGGTTGTGATTTATTTTATTTTTTTTTTTTATTTTTTATTCCCCCCCCCCCCCCCCCCCCCCCCCCCCCCCCCCCCCCTTGCTAAACCCCAAATCCTTTGTAGTACAGGCTTCTGAACTGGTGATTCTCATCCAGTCACACTGAACTTGAAAGATTCGGGAGAGATGAACGAGTCTTTCAAACTAAAGGTGTGTCAGTATGCATAACGCTCATAGCTTTGTGTGTGGATTATTGAAGAAAAATGGACTGTATCCATGTGAAGATGTAGAAAAATTCAAAGCGTCTGAGAACTTTCCAAATGCACTATAAATGTCATGACTTGAGCTTTCAGTATGTAGACATAAGATGGATATTCCTAGGAGAGGCAGGAAAAGGGCCATGTTGCCTGTAGAGGCCAGGTCATATGCTTTCATATTGTGTATAAATCTATGCCCATAAGACTCACTTCTTCCCTTGTAAAAGGGACCCCACTGTGTTTGATTCATACTTTATTAAATGGACTGCGTAGCAGAGCCACAATTTTGAAGTCCAAGTTGAAATGCAGCCATTTCAAACCCAGAAAGTCTGGACTGTGAGCGCTTCCAGCGATGGAACCAGCCAACTGGTGTTTGACCCGAAACAACATTTAATGGCCCCCTATGCTCTGAAAGTCCCTTATCTGACAACCCTCTCAGTATCCTCCATCTCTGGTCAGAAGGCCAAGTGCCAGCATTTTTCTCTCTTCCATTTTTGACCGCTGACAAGCTGCTATTACGAGCTTACATCACCTGAAATGGTATAATTTCACAGGTTAAAGTTCCTCACTTTGGGAGCTCCTGTGTAACTTAACACTTGTCTAGCTCTGAATGTCAGTCTTTTTATTCTTTGTTCTTCTGTTCACTTTAAGTCATTAAGTCAACAATGAACATCTTTTAAAAATGGCCGCACAATGTATTTTTACCTAGATTATACTATGAGATCTGATGCAGGGTGCACGTCAACTGACCTAGGACTTCGTATATCACAATTCATAAAATCTGTGGTGGTGTCTGTATGACTACGTGGGTGGAAACAGAGCTTAGCCTGTGGGTTGGATAGCAGCAGGTCCAGGAAAACAGTGGGGAACGCAATCAACACAAGGATTAGGAGGCCATGGAGGAACAGAGGGAAACAACAGGGAGGCAAACTGTACTTTGTGGTGGTGTTAATGAATCAGTTTCTGTGTACCGATTTTATGAAGCCATGTCACAGAACTCTGAGCCTCTGCATGTGAGCTACAATTTGTGAACAGCAGGAAACACTGATTGCAAAAATGTGGTCAGCTTGGGAATCCCAGTACCTGTTTTCTCTTTTTTCTTTCCTTTGGTGAGCAAACATCGCAGAGTACAGGACATCCTCTCTACTGATCCTCAGGATCTGCAAAAATCCTTTAATCATCAGCAGGACCTGCACTGTGTCCCTCTTGTTGATGCTGTCAATGCTTTACTGCTCCCGCTTGCACCCTTCATCAACCTGCTGCTTATATACAAATCTCAGCCAAAGCCAATGTTTACTGTCAGAAGTCTTTCTCAGCTGTATATTTGGTTTCTGCTCCTCCCTCTGGAGTGCTGAGTATTGTATGTAAATCCTCAAATCAACATGCACAGATTCTATTTAATTTCACAGCTAGTCGAGTGGCTCTAATCTCATCCAGCCATTTGGGCTGTTTGCTTTTCAAATCTAATGGATGGGTTTTGTGAGGATAGGGTCGGGAGGGTATTGCAGCCTTGTCTTTTCTATGCAAGCTGATGTCTTCAGTGTGACACTACAGCAAATAATTAAATTGCTTCTTGAAAACAAAGACCCTAGCAACACATATAAGCATATAACTGCAGCTGTATTGTGCTCCCACATCCTCCCATTGACACAGTTTTTGAATATTGTTTATGCTTGCTGTCTCTTCAGCCAACACATCCATCCGGCTAAAAATGCAGAAGTAATGTCCAAAGCCTCAAGCGTCTGTCTTGCCCCTACCCCATCAAGAACGTTTGAGACTACAGTATGTATGCATATTTCTATATTTATTTATTTTTTTTGTGCAGTTGCCAAAAAGAAAATCAAACTTAAGATAATGGAGGGATTTAGTCATAAAGCCGCTGCTGATTTCTGCATGGAATTAGATATGACTTAGTTGTTTTGTTGTTTGTTTAAGGAAATGTATTAAAGCTAAAACACAGTGTGCCAATAGTGAGACTTGGATTTGCAGTTTTTGTTTAATGCAGTGCTATATCGTCGCTGTACAACTGAAGTTCTAGTCCCTTTTTTAGTGTCAGAGCAAATGTCAATATCCACCCCCTCTCCAGCCAGGCTTAATATAGATTTTTATGAGCCATGAAATACTTTCTCTTGCTTTTTTATTATGCACATATTTAATGCCTATTAAACTTTCCTTTAGAGGTTTCAAAGAAAATGACACTCATTTCGTGAAAGCATTTTGCAATGAGAGTACACTTGTTCTATATTTGCTTCTTAATGCGGTGTTCTTCAGTTTGTTTTCCTATGCATGTCTCGATTCAGATATAAATGAATACACATGTTTTAAGGAGAGTTTATTGAAAGTCATTTTTAAAAATGTCCTTTTGTTTTCCACATACTCAATGTAAACTAGGACACTGGGCTACCTAGAAGACGTTTCATCTCACACGGTAGTTTTGAATCGGATGGAGAGAACCTGCAGAATGGAGTAAGCGCCAGGGATGGCCAGGAGCGGGACTTGTGTCATAAATCAGGGCCTGGGCTCAGGTCTGAGAGGAAAGCTCAAAGTGGGACTGAAGTTGCAAGCTGTAAGGGAGAAGAGGGCTGGTCAGGGGATGCCAACCTCCAGCAGACAAGTGTCCTGGGCCTGGGTGATGGATGTGGCACAAAGCCAGAGGGAAATGCTAATGAGATCCAAGATGATGGCACTGACTGCTACAAGGGGAGACCTCGCTCTGGTGGGAGCTCATTAAGTGGCATGTCCCACCTGCAGAGCAGCAGAGGAACCAGCTCCATGTCTATCCTCCCACAGAGCAACACTCATTCTCAGCTTGACACAAAGCCTCTTGACAGTCACACAGGCTTTTGTCCACCCAAAGAAACCACCATCACGAAGGAGTGTAGCTGTGGAGAGATGGATGAATCTGAAAATTTAGAGAAGATCCCTGGAGTGTGTGCGACAAAGGCTGCAGCAGCTGCAGTTCAGAATCTGAAGCTGAGCTCTTTGTTCAGCAGAGTTTTTTGGATTGTCCAGGATGCAGGACGTCTGCTTTGGAGCTCTTCCACTGTATTGCAGCAAGTCACAGAATTCAGATTTCAACCTGTTGGGGCTCGTTGGTCAAACAATTTTATCTCTCTGGTAAGAGAAAGCAGTGTTCTGTCTATTTTAAGGGACAGCCATGTCTTCTCCACATTTAGAAGCAGCTTTATCTTCTCTCTATTAAAGGACAGTCACATTTTTTCATTGGTGAAAGAGCTGCCTCTCATACAGCAGGTCCAGATGGATATAATTCAACTCCTTCAGTCTGAGGAGGCTGCTCAGATGATTCAAGGCTGCATTAATCCTGAAAACGCACAACTCCCTGTCCCGACACCAACACAAACCCTGAGTAAGGCTGATGAATTGCCAAATGATGTACAGCTTGTCTCAGGGGATATCTTGAAAAGGAATGAAAGTATGTGGGATATGGAGTCAACACGAAACATGGTTGATGGTAATGTGAAACAAGGAGATGAACTTATTACAAAGCGGTTGCAACTGAAGCACAGCAGTGTGAAAGAGGTTACCTGTGAACTTAAAAACTCAAAAACAGTTCAAATTTTCATTCAAACGTTGATAAAATTTCCTGATTCCCTTGCAAACCTGCAAAATCTGCCACCCCAAAGCATGATGGACCATCTACAGTCTGTCATCTCCACTTCAGGCCTCCCAACTCAGAAGATTCTTACTCTCTACTGGCTGAACGTAGCTAAATGCAACAAACCAGAGCCGCAGTCTGCCCTCTTGATCCTGATGGAATCTGCGCTTTACACACTAACCTCTGAATCTGGTCTCTTAGTTTTGTTCCATCACCTCCCTTTGTGTCAGTTGAAGGACATTCAGATAGGCCTAGCAGGCCAAAGTCTGCGTTTGATAAGTGCTACAGAAGAAAGCGTCCTTGTTGTCTATACCTACAGTCAAAAGCATACTCAGTTGTTGTGTAGGGCCATACTTAATATCATCTGCCCTGGGGACTGCAGGGTACCTCGGCACCCACTGCTGCATGGAAACTTAGCAGAGATGTCTCTAGGCTGGTGGGTCAGTGTACCTGAGCTGCTGCTGGATGCTGGTTTAAGGGTTTGCTGTCAATTTCAGAAGAGTCTTGCCGATCTGATATACCTTCTTCATTGTAATATGAATCACGAAACCACTCTGGGAGAGGTGCAGCTGAAACTTTACACAAGTGTAGCAGTGCATATCAGTCCTAGTACCCACAGTAAGCACGTGGCTCAGTTTTTACTTACAGATACACACCTCGGTCTGGTACGAGAGGATGCTGTCTCACTCACTTTCACACTCTGTCACCACAGCTCCCTGCCGTCCCCACTTCCACGGCTTAACTCTTCGGTGGTGCTCGGATGTTCGCTGCATACTGGTGCACGACGAAAACGAGAACCGGCCTGTCAGGCTGGATGTAATCTTTGCAAAAGCACAGGGCAGGGGTCACCCTGAAAGCGTGACTAAGGCAGCTACCCTGAGTGCACATGCTTTAAATTCATCTCCGCATGCAGAAGTGTGGAAATTAACTTTCAGTTGCTCCGCTGAGGCCGCCCGCCTGATTAATCACTTGTCAAATGTCTGATCAAGGACTGAACGGCCAGTAATGAACAGCCCAGCTTGAAAACTCACTCACAGGGAGCAAAAGTGCATCCCAAGCAGATAGTGCAAAGAATCATTTTTTTTTCGCTATGAAATTATAATGAAAATGTGAAGTTTGAAGTTTGCTTTTTTAAATTTTGTGATATTAATGTTGCGTGACTTTGGCACTTGGAAGATTTTATCTTTAAAACGCTTGAATTTCTTTGTTCTTGCATTGATGTCTTTAGAAAATAGTTTGAAGGTCTAGCACTGAAGATCAAAGAAGTGTGCTTAGCAGTTTCATTTGTTTTAATAGACATTGTAATGTTTTTGAAGCCTTTTAAATGTCTCGTGACCAAATTCTTAAGATGACTTGCATTGTTTGTGTATTTATTATTCATTTTCAAAATTCTAATATTTTAAATTTTTCAATAAATCCCTGCATATGTTAAAGTAAAATCGGAGTTTGGTTTTTTTACCACTTAAAATGCAGATGAGCTCTGATGGTTGAGACTTGAAATGCAGACAGCAAAAATAGCTTGATGCATTTTATTGCTTCCTTTAAAGTCTGTCATTTTGTCTTCCTATCATCTCTTTTTGACTCATTTTCACTTTCGGCCCAGTCTCTTTACTTTGCATAAACCTGTGCCCCCACTGGATGTAAGAGTCTCCACTGCAACTGAGCAATCGGTTTCTGAGGTCAAGTTGTATTTGTACTACCTGTACAATTGGTCAATGGTTTTACTTCTGCCAGTCAACACTGTGCACTTGATGACAAGCCTTGTAGAAGAACTAAAATTACAGATGGGTTGCTCATGCTGTTTCTCTGGGAAAGAACTCGAGTTTAAATCACATTTCAAGGGGTTAAAGCCAAAGATTGTGCTCCTTTTCTTGACTGAGTGACCCCATCCAAGAAGGAAAATTGCAGGGGCAATATAGTGCAATCAATCCCCTTGTCTGCTCCAGCATGAATGATGGAGATTTGGGCTCGACTCAAACTCCTCACACCTTGTAGCAAAGCGGATTGGACCAGAATGAAAGCTCGGGGATGTAAAAGATTTTCTCCCTTTTTGCTTGACAGTTAATTAGCATTCAAACGATCTAGTGTATATCAAACTTTCTTGCGAATAAAACGCAAAAGGCAGACTGATCATAATCTCATGTATTGAAAATGAGGCTTGTTTCTTACATGCCACACAAAGATTAGTGTTGAGGATTTTCATTTTCACATTAGATCAAGGCTAATTTATTGCAAATATTGTCACAGGTTATGACTAGTTTACATTAAACTGCAAATTGAGACTTTCCTCTTGCAGATTAGTTAATAAATTCTGCCAAAATCTGATAATGGCTTTAAAATAAATTCTCCATCCAGTATCACATAACACTTATTATTAAAATTTGGGGAACTGTACTCATTATTGTGCTTTTCCATGTTTAATGTGGGCTGGTTTCCTCCTCGCAGCATTTGGCTGACATCTGAATAACCTTGCATCTGTATTGTGCAGGATGCCTCTTTTGGTTTTCATGTAATTCTTCAGGATTGACAGTTGAGAGGCAAGTTGCATCTGGATAAATTTTCTTTTTTTAATCACGTATTTTTCTGTTAATCATGAAACACGGCTAATCTACTATCGCTGCGTGTTTGTCTATCAATGGACAGGAGCGCTTGTTGTGCACAGCCTGGTTAAAGGAAGCACTCACTCTGACAGCTGATACTTTCCCACTGACAGGCTTTGAATGTCTAGTGATTATAGTGTGATGTCCTACTGGGTTCTCCGGCCTTAAAACGCACCACGATTGACGGCACATAACAGTGTAATTTGTTTACCACCTCCTTTAGAATCATGAGAACGTGACCTATAGGCAGTTTGGACACTGCTTAGCTGTAACGGGCTAAATCTTTAAGGCTATTTTGATCTTTCCAGCCCCACAGTAGCCCCAGTAGTTCGATTGAGTTGTTTTGTTTTTCAGATTTTGGAGACTCGTTTTTACCCTACTGCATGGTGCTAAATTGGTCCTGAGGATGTTTATATAATTTTTTTAATAATTAAATTTGTTTCTCTCTGACAAACTGCCCCCATCTCCTTTAGTTTCTGTTGCCTGGAGAGTCTGTTTCCCACTTACAAATTAGGATACTCTTGAATAAGAAAACATCTTGTTAAGCCAATAAACAATCTGTTGGAGAAGCTGGTTTGCAGATTTAACCTGGTATTAACAGCGTGCCTTTGGAAAACAGGCTAACAGATCAGCATCGAATACTGATAAAGTTGGTGTTTTTTGGGGTTTTTTTGGGGTTTTTTTAATTGCAAACCAACCTGTAAAACCTTGAAATAAATACAGTGCCAACTGTTATTTTCCAAAGTGCTTTTAAAAAAAAGAAGGTAATTTACAATAACCTTAAACACAGAGGATCAAAACTGTATTCATGTCTACCCAGTGATGCAGACATGCATAAAATTAGGCGAGTACAGGATTTGATTTGCCTTTCCTTGGCTCTAGTAGGAGTGCTACTGCAAGCATGCGGTGCTTGAAGGCCAGACATTTCTTTACCCGTGTACTCTGGTGATTTTTAAAGCTGCTTGTTTGGCTACTTAAGCATTTTCTTAAACTAAGAAGAAAAAACACATCCATGTTTCACTATCACGTTTCTAACTTTAACTATACACCTTCCGGTATGTAAGTCTGGGACTTTCTTACTGGGCACTGACTGACTTAAATTGGTTGTGGCTGGTGATATTACTCTGAACTGCTCAGGCTAGCTTCTAGCTACCTCAGTGCAAAAGTTGTAATGACACAATGATGTTTGTAATATCAGGGCTGGTTGTCTTTTGGTTGTTAATACACCTTCATGCTATCATGCTGATGATTTAATGATGGGTATGAGGTATATATCTTAGGAGTATTTAAATTTGTGCTGCACACGCTCACTATTAAATGGCTCAATAATAAATGTCTGACTCTGATCATCTGTCAAGTCTTCCAAAAAGTTATGTTTTCACTTTAAGTCTTTGACTGTTCTGGACTCGAGCTTTTTATTATGCTGGGTTTTATATCAAAGGGAAGGTGAAGCAGGTGTGGGCGGATTTTGAGATCACATGTATCCATTAAATGGGCACAAGTAACAAAATGCGATTCATGGAACCTGCTTAAGTAAAGTTTCTTATCCTTAGCTTAAGTTCCCTTAAGAGAAAAATCTTGAGACTTTAGTTCAGTGAAAATCATTAAATTTGTTTAACTTTTTTTTTTTTTCAATAAAAGATGCTCCATTTATAATGTACATTAACATATTTACCCAATCACTCATCTGCACCTCAGTGCTCACCATTTTTTCATGTTATTTATCCTTGGAGGACTTCTCATTGATCTGATACTTTGAAAAAGTAGCTTAAAACACTGAACTTTTTATAATTAACTCAGTGTGGGCATGTGAAGCAGTGGGAAATCTGGATATGTTTAGTATATTTAAAAACAAAAAGTCCTTTCAGTGCCATTTTTGAAGGGTGACATTTTGTTTTTCAAGTTCAATCCAGCTGAGTGATGGTCTGTGTCCAGTATGTGCATCCATGCTTGTTTAAATTCATGTCACTCAATAGGAGGGCAATGTACTTAACTCTGTCACCATCCTGCCATCTAATGAAGTCTAGTGTTTGCCTGTAATGGCAGGTTTTATCCAGGCTTTTGATGGAACATGTTGGGAGGGGGTGGATCTCAAAGGAAACGGACACAATGGTGACCTGAATGTCACTGGCAACTTTCGACTGCGCTCATTTGTGCCTGTGTGTCCGCGGGCCATAGAAAACTCTCTGCCCTCTAGAAGAATGAGTTTGTCACACAGTGTCATTTTTAAATTGGGCTCCATTTCTCCCTGCCCACCCCTGCTCGGTTTTGGACCTCACATGAGCTTCATTAGCATTTGCAGGAACTGCGAGACATTTACCACCATGGATTGTGACAGATTTCACAAGCTCAATTTTACTGTTGCCCCAGGGGGAGGGAAGAGACAGTGCTCGCCATCTGTTGATTGTGACTGTACCCGGCACTTCCATAAGAGGCTTCCTTACCGCCATGGCTAATAGTCCAGTGACAGTTCTGGTCTATACACAAGAAGTGGAAAAACACTTAAAGTTTGATTTAACCAGACCTCCAGGCAAAAGCATGAATTTTGGGTTTTTTTTTAAAAAAAAAAAATCAGCTTTTCATTGAGCTTATAAAACATGCATTCTTAATTTATTAGATGTCAAAGTTAATTTTAAAGTTTGCGATGAAATGTGACATTTAAATTTGACTTGTAAAAGCTAGCATTTCAGTCACTGCTCACTCTGATAATATTTAAGGCTAGAAAACTGGCAGTGGAGCGAAAACGTTTAATTTAGTCTTGATTTCTGTATCACGGCAGTACAGTTGAACTTTATGGTGTGTAGTTAAACTGTTGGCCACATGAATAACCAAGCTTAGCCCCTGCTGATCAAAATGACTGGCACAGGTAACAGGAGAGAGACTTTAGAGCTTATCAGTGCTTGCGATGGCATAACAAAACAAACACCGTAGATGTTAATATACGAGCTCAAGAAGAACCGATTAAACACTTATTGCCAAAATATTCCTCAAGTGACTATTTAAGATGTTCATCTGTGTTTTTAATTGCTCCAGGGACCATTTTTGTTATACAGTAAGCTCATTTAGTTTTCAATACACAAATAAAAAGATTACTCTCACTGCTAATTAGCTTCAACTTAACGATTTTCTTGTATGGCCACCTTTTGTGCAACTCTTCCCCCCCTAAATGTGCCGTGTACAAGCTGACATATTAAAACGGCGGCCCAGATCATATTTTTCTGCTGCTGGCAGTGAAGTCTTTTGAGACCTTGAAAGTTTCTGATCATGTTCTAATAAAAGGAGATGGAGGTGCTGTGCAGCGGGTCACAGAGAAGAGGAGCTGCTCTGAGTGGCTGCACTTTTAGAGGAGTTTCTGAAGACTCTCATAAAAGTTGGAAAAAGATATTTTCAGATATTCATGAGTAATGGTTAACTGAAGAGCTTTGCACATGTAAGACAAAATAAATGAATATAAGGCAATGAAAAAGAGCGTTTTAGAGGGTAAATTATATGGGCTTGCAATGATCACAGACATTTGAAGTGTTAATGTGTGTCTCTTATTAGGAGTTTCCTGTTGTGTTTGGTGCGTGGAAAATGATATTTCACACGCGTGCCCTTCAATAAAGCTCGATCGCATCCCTGCGGTTTATGAGTCTCCAGTCAAAAAGTCAGCTCGTTGTAAATAAGCTGAGGGATTAGTGAATGATGAGAAGAATGGCTGACGGTCACATGGTGCAGCTGTCTGTATGTGTGTGTCATGTCAGCATATTTCATTTGGAAAGATGACACTTCTATTTCGACTTCTAGATTCATTAGCGGGCAAACGTCAGTGTCGTT